TTTTTTAAAAGCATGAATCACTCTGAATTGAATGAAGTAGGAAAGTGATTGGAAATATTAAAGTAGGTTAAGACTCTCTAATACGACTCCACAGGGAAAGGAAAGATGCCATCTTCAAATATGGCTGCTTAATTTAAACCATCAATAACTACTTGCCTAACTAATTTGCAGCAGCACCCTCTGGTGAAGCTAAAACTTTATAGCTACCATTCAAATTGCAATTTCTGAACACCTGCTCATTTGTTACATTACTATAATCTATAATACCAGTACCATGCTCAAAAATAATCATTTCTTCTTTGGCAAGACTCTAGCCAGTTGTGATCAAGTTCATATCTTGGGCATATTTTCTCTGCTCTGGTAGCAAAACAATCTTAATGGTTTATAGTAGAATCCCTTATATTTGATTCTTAATTCTCAGAGTATATCAGCAACAGAGACAAGTTTTATGTCTTAAGTAAAAAAAATTTTTTCCTCATTTTTATACCTCAAAAGCCACATATGTTATTAAACTGTAGTGGGTGATGTCTTACAGAGGGTGTAGGGGTACAGGATGGTTTAGTGTGAGTTACAAACACATAACACATCAGTAATGTTAGATCACATGTAAGAGTTCTCCAGGAAAAAGAGTAAGGTGTCGTTTAGATTGGAGTGTTACCATGGGAAATACTTATGTAACTGTTAGGATTAAAACATACACAGGGAGAAAACATGTAGTTGGGGAATAAGTTCATAAAGTTCTAAAAGGAATTCAAGAGGCCAACATTGGCCATATTCATTTCACCCAGATCTGAGTGTCCCTGTTTCTAGGTAGAGGAAGGAAAGGTGGAGATAGAGAGGGATGCTGATAAACATTGTTGGATCTTGATTTCAGTTCCAACTTCAGGATCTTCGATWAGTCACTTAATATCTATTTCTGTCCCATCGTGTGATCAATTATATGGTAAATATAGGATAGGTAGACTTTTTCTGTAAAGGATTGGACAGAAACAGACACCACTAGTATAATAACTACTTAATAATGATAACTGAATAATTTTTTTAAAGAGAGAGTGAGAGAGGAGAGAGAGAGAGAGAGAGAGAGAGAGAGAGAATTTTTAATATTTATTTTTTAGTTCTCGGCGGACACAACATCTTTGTTTGTATGTGGTGCTGAGGATCGAACCCGGGCCGCACACATGCCAGGCGAGCGCGCTACCGCTTGAGCCACATCCCCAGCCCCATAACTGAATAATTTTAAAGAGGTATCATAAAAATATAAATAAATTTAGCACAGGAAGACATAAAAGATAGCAAAAAGGAAAGTAGTTTAGCTAAGAGAAAAACTAGTATCATAAGGTAAATGTCCTACAAAAACAAAACCTGAAGACCAAGAACTCCAATTTATTTTGATGACAATTACATACATGAAATTTTGAACTACAATTAAGAAATTTTAGACATTATAGTCAATCTCTGGGGAAGTCATTTGGAGTTTAAAAGAATTACTGCTAAAGAACTAAATCCTCTTTRTAAAGCGTTCATTATCATCCTAGTGAATACTATTGACCCAGCGCACCATGTTGGCTTATTTTACCACCATTCTAATTATTTTCTTTCTCACTAGAGGTCAATTTTAAAAATCTTTCACCCAGAAGATGATATTTATCAAATATTCAAAATGAATCGAAATCATGAGAGTCTTGTTTTATACTTTACTCTCATGTCATAAATCCTTACTATTCATGATCAAATAGCAACATTTTAGTCTTCTATATGTCAACATTAATTACTTTAAACACTTTTAACAATTTACCAGCATAACTGTAAAATAAAATAATGACATGGTCTGAAAAGGGAGAAAATTCTGTAGTTTCCCATGCTTCTCCTATAGTCTATGACCTTTCTACAATTTGAGAAGCAAATTTAATAAAGTGAGAATTCTGAGGATATACAGATCTACAATCTCTTAATCTGAACCCCCTGGGGCCAGATATGTTTCAGAATACAGAATTCCAAACTCAAGAAAGCAATGCAGTTCATAAAACATGCAGATCATACATCACCAGTGAACTCCAGAGCACTATTCCATAATCACATATACTGACATTACTACATCTTCAGTTGTTTATACCAAAGAGAATAAAGAGTATGAGTGACCTCATCAGTTTAGTACAGATTCGACTGCCAAAATAACTTTGTTTCAAACTTGTGAAAAATGTTTTGGTTTTCAGAGCTTTTTGAAGTTTTCATTTTTAGATGAGGGAATATATATAGGCCTGTGGTATGTAAAAACAAAACAAGTCTTCCTGAAGATTTTCCAGTTCAAAAGGAACCAATTCAATTACTTGAATGACAAACAATAAGATACTTTCCAGTATGAATTCAAGAATGAGCTTAAATTCTTCCAGTGGAGAAAGATCACCAAGAGAAATGTGCTCCCTCTGCTTGGATAGTCTCAATGTCTATCCAGAGCCAACATACATGGTACTGTACTCCCTGGCATCAGCAATACTGGTCATTCTGGCAGCAATTCTCAACCAACAGGTTTGTACTCAAGGACTTGGGATTCTAACATAAGCAACCACCTATCCTTTAAGAATCTTTGGTTTTTCTCCTCAATACAAAGATGGTTCTTGTAGTTCAAGTAGTAACAGCAACTCTGTATTTTAACTGGTACTATTCTCAGTAGAGCCCTTTGAGAATTTGACTATTTTATGAGCATTAATTTTTAGTCCTGGTTGTGTTTTAAAAATACACATGGAAGTTTGTTAAAAAATACAGAGGTCCAGGTAACAGCAGATCAATACATTTAGAGACCCAAAGCATCAAAGAGACAGCGTTCTCATTCGTAATTCAAAATAAAACAATACTATAGATAATGAAGTACATGTAAGGAAGTCTCTATTATATTGGATTTTTCATACAAAGTTTGCACTCTCTTCCAATGTTTTGGTCCCTTTTGACTTTGATGCTCCTGCTTTGTTAAAGTGCTCAGCATGAACCTCTTCTTCCTACTAGGCAGTCCAGTACTAGGTGAGCCTTCAGATTTGTAGTCTGAGTCCCCAGTAGGAGAGAAGGGGAAAAGAGAAAGAAACGGCGGGGCTGGGGTTATGGCTCAGTGGTAGAATGCTTGCCTAGCATGTGTGAGGCACTAGGTTCAATTCTCAGCACCACATATTAATTAATTAATAAATAAAATAAAGATCCATGATTAAAAAATATTTTAAAAAAGAGAAAGAAATGGAGGAAGAGAGGAAGGGATGGAGGATGACAGGGAGAGCAAGAGAGTGGGCAGAAGCATCCTAGGCTGCCATGCAATGTGTGAAAGATTCTGCAAAGTTCCTGAAGTGTCCTCAAGTCAAAGTTGACTTTCAGGAGTTGTGAGTCTCCCAGGATGGGATGTTTAGTACTGTGCCACACTCTGTGGGAGATGAGAGAAACCACAGAAGGCATGGCCTCAATACAAATGAAGCACTAGGCCTATGCCACAGATCACTGGTGTGCCCAAGGGGCTCAGAAGCCTCAGGAAAAAGCTTTTCCTGACTAGTGTCTTTTAAAGGCCTCTGTAACTATCAATCTACCTTCTCACTATTATAGGACTGCTTGAATATTTAACACAAACCCACAAAGTTTCACAACTGTAATGCATCAAATGTTTTATTTCTCTCAGTAGTTCATGGACAAGTAATTGACTGAAATGCGTTTTTTAAAAATGCAATATATATTACTAATGGATTACTTCTGTCCCAGATTAAATCAAACAAAACTGTTACAAATACTTGAAARTTTAAGACAACTCAGATAATGAGTTTATAGGTTTCTATAAATTTCCTTAATTTAATGTGCTATACCTGTGTTTTGAAAATAAACCATCAGTGCAATATAATTTCTTCAATATTTAGGACACTGTTAACAGTGGTGATTCATATGAAAAATCTAATTAAATATCCCAAATTCCTGATTAGGTCAGTTTTAAAGACACAAAATACCAGAAATATTTACTATAGAATTGTTTATAATGCTCTTTTTAATAAACTACAATCAACTACTAACACAGAAATTATGTTTAAAACTAGAAGTTTTATATATGATACTTTTATTCACCAAAATAAAAAAGAATGTTGTTGAAAAGGCAATGTCTACCAAAAATCAAACACTCTGGGCATTAAACAATGCATTCTCTTCTGAGATTTAACATTACATATCACTAGGAAAATTTTTAAAAAATTTATAGCCAGGTCTTAAAAAACATGAATAACACTAATAATTCACACATCACAAAAACAGCCAACCAAATGAATCCACATCTTGAATTCATCACTGACTCAGTGATTTGAAATAAATGCTAAATTCAATACTATGAGCACATCTAAAGGTTCAGCCAAGGAAATTAAATACTTCTTGAGTATTTTGTTAAAGTTTTAATAAGCAGAACATCTCTGATCAGCATAGAGATATACAAAAGGCAAAAATTACACTGAATTGATTCTCATCATCTTGCTCCTCAAAGAACACATGGAACATTTTCTAATGTTGTTATACATTTATACCTTATTTTACTTATATAAAGCAACTGAAGATTTTTCATTCTTCCTACTAAGTATTTAAAATACATTACAGGTATGTATTATAACAAAATATTAATTTATGATGCCCTTAAAAGTCTCTCAACTTTTAATTACTATTTCTAGAAATACAAAAATATTGTATTTTACATATCTGAGTCCTGAAAAACTTAAAGTGCAATGTTATCAGCAAATTTTAATTGTACCATATGAGCTCATCTTGAAAGAGCCTATAAATATCTTTCAAAATTTTATGACTACTACATCACAGACAGCCAAGTAGAGCTATTTTAAAGGTTTGATTGACAATATCTCTTCTATTATAATGCAAGGAAGAAAAACAAGCACCAAAGTAAAAGTTATCTCATTAGGAGAAAAAACAATGTTTTCATGGGGTGGGTTTGGGGTGGGGGAAACATGTCATTTCTCCATTTAGTGGGTTTTTTCCATCAATTACCTGGTTTACCAAAAAATGTTATCTCAGTTCAATTAATGAACAAATTACTTTTAGGCAAAATGTCAAAGTGTCCAACATTTTGTGGCTAAAACCATTCAAAGAACACTAATCATTCTAAACTCTTTCTCATTCTTTAGTTTAAAAAATTAATTAAAAATAAGTCTATTGCCATTTGCTTCACAATTTTAATATTAATGAAAATTTCATTCTGAATCTCAAGTGGCATTTCTGCAAAGATCTCACTCACTTAAGCAGTAGTGTACAATGGGTTGCTAACACAGGCATGGTTATAAAATTAAGAGTCAAAACTATAGGGGGAGAAAAAAAAAACCCAACACTAGCTATTCTATTACATAAAACTAAAAAGTTGCTTGCAAACTTCTCTCTACCATGGTAAATATGAGTGATTTTTCCCCCACCAGCAGTCCTCTGGGATCTATAATTATGATGGTGTTTGAGGCCTGAGAAGTTTCTGTGATGACTGCTTCATCAGCTTTTGTTGGTGTCTCAATGACTGTGCATCCTCAATGGCATTAAATGCTCTCTGTAAAATAAAATGTGTATTATGAACTGTGAAAACAAGTTCAGGTTCATCTGGTAGAAGAGGAAGGTACAGAAGAGATGGAACTCTCCCCACAGATCCAGTAGCTGAGAACAGAGCTTCTGTTCCATGTATCAATGCAAGCACTAACCTTCTGCCCTAGTAAGTCCACAGTTTATTATTTTTAAGTCTATACATTCATCCAATTTATAACTACAAGATTTGGGGGGATAAATAACAGGTGTTAGTTATAAAATAGGCTTTAAAAAAATCTTTCAGCTCAAAACCTAAGGGGTATTCTTTAAATAAACAGTTTACCTTTGCTGTGGTGATGTCCTTCAGGTAAATTTTCCGAAGACAGCCTAGATTGGCACTATCTCTTTTGTGGAACAGACCCTGCTCCTATTTCAAAAGAAACAATGGAAGAAAAGAAGAAAAAGAAAGCAAAACCTTTAATTGGATACTTGAATGTCATCTCTACTTTATAACCAGTAGACTATCAGAACATACATATTCAAGAAAGATATAAAATAAATCATCTTGGTACAATGAGAGTGATTTCATATGAGTTGTTGGAATTTATGAAATTGGATGTGTATACATCTATCTATAAAATAATGGCTTTCTGCAGGCAATAATAAATAGCCTACAGAAACACCACTTGATAACTAATCACATCTGACAAATCAAAAAGCCCTTCCTTCATTTCCTTGGCTGACAGATAAAATTCTTATATAATGTAAAATATATTGAATCAATTCTCACCACTGATATGAAAGCAGAGTGATAACTGAGAAAACTGTAAAATATATGCAGAGTGACACAGTCTGCCCTAGCATGAAAACTGTTTCAATACACCAAGGTACTCTTTAAATTCTAGTACTGCTGAAAAAACAAATGGGTAGGGGRACATGGTAGTTCCTCTTACCTGTAAATTTCCATAAAAAGCAAAGTAAACACAAACTAAAGGAAAACAACTCAAAGTGGAGACTTAGGCACTAGAACAGAGACCCTGCACCTAATAGAAGGAAAAATAGGCTCAAATCTTCACCACATTGGCCTAGGATCTGATTTCCTTAACAAGACTCCTAAAGTGCAAGAAGTAAAATCAAGAATCAATAAATGGGATGGATTCAAATTAAAAAGCTTCTTCTCAGCAAAGTAAACAATAACACYGAGGAGAGAGCCTACAGGTTGGTAGAAAATCTTTACCACATGCACTTCTGATAAAGCATTAATCTCTAGGATATATAAAAGAACTCAAAAAACCTTAATAACAAAACCACAAATAGCGCAATCAATAAATGGGCTAAGGAGCTGAACAGACGTTTCACAAAGAAGAAATACAATCGATCAACAAATATATGAAAAAGTGTTCAACATCTCTAGCAATTAGAGAAATGCAAATCAAAACTACTCTAAGATTTCATCTCACCCCAGTCAGAATGGCAATCATCAAGAATACAAACAACAATAAATGTTGGCGAGTCTCACTCATACATTGCTGATGGGAGTGCAAACTGGTGCAACCACCATGGGAAGCAGTATGGAGATTCCTCAGAAAACTTGGAATGAAACCACCATTTGACCCAGCTATCCCACTCCTTAATTTATACCCAAAGGACCTAAAATCAGCATATTATAGTGACACAGCCACATCAATGTTTATAACAGCTCAATTCATAATAGCTAGACTATGGAACCAACCTAGGTGTCCCTCAATAGATAAATGAAAAAAGAAAATGTGGTATGTATACTCAATGGAATATTACTCAGCTTTAAAGAAGAGTGAAATTATGGCATTTGTCAGTAAATGGTTGAAGTTGAAGAATATCATGCTAAGCAAAATAAGCCACTTCCACACAACCGAAGGCCGAATGTTTTCTCTAATATGTGGATGCTAATTCACAATAAGGCGGGGGTAGAGGGACACTAGGGAAGAATAGTGTTACCTTAGATTAGATAGAGGGACGTGATGGGAGGGGAGGGAAGGAATGTGGGAATAWGAAAGATAGTAGAATGAAACAGACATTATTATTCTATGTATATATGTGACTGCATGACCAATATGATTCTGCAACATGTACACTTAGAAAAATAAGAAATTATATCCCATCTATGTATGATATATTAAAGTGCATAAATACACTCTACTATCATGTATAATTAAAACAAATTTAAAAATTTTAAAAAAGGAAAACAATACTCTCATCTTACTAAAATTTTGTGATAAAAGCTTTCCAGAGCATTTCAATAATAGAGATAACATCACTATTATTTAGAAAAAAACAAAGATACTACAGAAATTACCATAATTAGAATGGAAACTATAAGTATTTTTAATAAATGTAAATACATTTATATTATATGTATGTTATAATAAACATGTTTCAAAGTTAAGTGAGTCTGAGAATTAAGTAAAAGATGAGGTATCATTTTTGCAAATTACTAGGTGATTAAATAAAGTTTTTAGAAAATGATGTGGAGATGAGACAAAAAAAAAATTGCTTAAATTGTATTAGCATTCTGTAAATTCCAAATAATATAAAACATAGCTATTTCTGACATATTATTTATTTTCACCCAGCACCTTGTAATCTTCTAAAAGAAGGATATTTTTCAAGAAATGCCTGATATTATAGCAAAATGGGTATTCATATGAAGTAAAAACAACAAAAACACCTCAGTTTCACTATTGCTTAAATCTACCAAAAAATAAAGTATCTGTACATCAGCATCCTAACTTTTTTGTCAAACTGATATTTCACTCTATGCAATCAAGGATTGTCAGAAAATACAACTACACAAATAAATGGGTTGTAACTTTCTTTATATTTCAGCATAAAATAATAGCAAYAATGTTCCTTTTAATGTGTTGTGTAGTTAACTGAAAAACAGAGTCAGAAAGCGCTGGTTTCYACTCATAATAAATGCCTGGCTCTAGGGGTGTAAGTTGTGTTTTCTTACCTTAACTGAAATTTTCAGCAGATTTTCATCAATACTAGGAGGAAGTACAAAATCTTCAAAAGGACATTGCCAGTCTATGGACATATGGCCAAGGATTTCAACTTCTTTTATATATAGTACTCGCCTATTTTGCAAAAAAACAAAAAACAAAAACACACAGGTAGTGATAAAGACAGCTAATTATTCTCTCTACTAGTTCAATCTGTACATAGTACATGCAGTGTTCACTCAGTAAACAATGAAAACTGGCACTGAAAAGAGTATGCTTCCCATTAAAAGTCTCGATATCTGTCAAATGAAGAGAAATATGACACCTGTCATCTAACAAAGTAGACTCTCAAAAATTCCCGTTCTGCTAATCTTGCAGAATTCAGAAAAGTAAAACATTCTCTAATTGACCAAAAAACTGATAGTGAAATCATCTTTGAAACACATAAGGGACAGGCTGTACTCTCATCTGGGAAGCTTTAATGGCAGAAGTCCCTGAAAATGTTTTACTTGGGGAAATTTTTAATTGTTCTTTACTGTCAGTCATTTATGCCTTCCAGTCACGAAGGAATGTGCAGGAAATGTCACAAACCTCAAATGTCAGCAAAGATTCACTTGAAGCCTACTAATAAATATCAGACTTGAACACTTTAACTTTAATGCACTGCATCACAGAGGGAGTATCTTATTTTACTCAATAGTAATAGAAAAAAAAATAACAGAAACCTTAAAGGGCATCCACACTGATTTCCCAGTCTGTGATTCACATTAGTTACCAATACAACCATACTTGATTTTAAGTTTCTATTACAGAAAACAAAACTTCAGTAAAGTAATTGAATTGCTAATTCAACAAATATCTAGGGTGTAAGAGAAACCAGAAAGATAAGGTTTCTCTTTGAGAGGTACTCAAAGGCTAGAAGGGGAAATAATCATGTCAATAAAAGCCCCTATACAGCAAGACAAGTGCTGGTGAAGCAAGTGACATGCAAAGAGGTTCTCTACTTGAGAAAGGGGAAAGAGAGTCCAAAGGGAAGTGCACGCTGACAAATATAGGGATACAAAGAAGGGAAGACTTCTTTAAGGAATGTGGGGGTCTACAGCTGGAGTATCAGACAAAATACAATGATGAGACACTCCGGATGGGAAGTTTCTTAAGAGTCCAACCAGGAGGCAATGAGAGCCTCAAGTAGGGCAATGGCTGTTAAGAAGGAGGTGTTTGGAAGGTAGGATTAAATGAACCTGGTGACCACTGGAGTGCAGGAAACTAACTGCAACAGGCCTTTGGAACTGCATTTCTCAACTGAGAAGCCTTTAAAACATTGGGCTTGTTTGGGACTGTGTTATGCCCTGAAAGAGGCTCACGGACAATAGCCCCCAGCCTACCAAGTGCTATAATGCCAGGACACCAAGCTGCTCAAATAACTTTCAACAATCCCATTTGTTTCCAAATATCTCTAGAAAGTAGATCCCACTCCCCCTACCCTAGGCCCCAGTTGAGATCAGATGATAGAGCTAAGAGTTAAAGCTGGCTGTTACAAATCCTTGTGCCCAATGTAACTCACTATTCTGTATATCTTTAAACTCTTCTTTTGACCACCAATATTATTGCTCTCCTACCACCATAAGTCTCCTTCACTCTCTTAATCCTGTTTCATGTTAATCAAAGTTTATTAAATCTCAGTCATTTTCTACCCTTACAAGGGGACTCCAAGATCTTGACTCCAGATTTTTAACCAAATTCCTATTGTTTTGTCTACCTTTGTTTCCTTATCTACTGAGGCATCTCCACTTTGATGTCTCAAAGTTGTCAAAACCCAGTTAAGTTAAAAAAACAAAAACAAGACACACACCATTTTTTCCCTCAAATTACTAAATATAGCACCACCAATCCTTCTGGTGTTCAAACCCAAAGCCAAAGAGTCCTTTTCTATCCCTTTTTCTTTCATTTTCAGTCACCAAGGCCCATCTATTAAGCCTTCTCCTATTCAATTCTTATTCTTTTAATTTAGGCTCTCATCACTTCCTACCAAGATAGCTATCACAGTCTCTGTGGCAGATAAAATTCTAAGATGGTCTCTAAGATTCCCTATCCCTTCATGTATAGTTCTGAATAATCTCAGGACCATGAATATCACAGATTTCCTCCCATGATATAGCTTTGGTTATTAAGGCACAGATAACTAAGTAAAAATAATTCATGCAGCGGGTCCGACTTAATCACATGGACTCTTTAAATATAGAACAGAGATTAAGAAGTCAAATTCAAAGTGCCCTTTTTGGCTTGATGGAGGGAGACACACAGCAAGGAATGAGGTGGCTTTTAAGAGCTCAGTACAGCCCCCTGGCTGACAGAGTTCAACTGAATTCTACCAACATTAAATGAGCTTGGCACATTGGAATATTTGTTGTGCAGCAACAAAAACTACAAGACACTGATTTCCTATCTACACAGACTCTTCCAATCTAGCATCTAGAGATGCCAGAGATTTTTAAACTACAAACCTTATCATATTACTTATTGTTTATAAGCCTTCAGTGGGAAAGAAAATAAAAAGCAAATTTTCATTTGTGTGCTATGTTCAAAAACTTGTGTGAGAAGTTGCCAGTAATACCACACAATAAAATAAAAGGCTATATCTTAAAAGAAAAAAAAAAAAGAACTAGTCATTCTCCRTCACATTAATAATAACACCTAAACCTTAAGATAACAGAAGCAACCACAAATGACTCTAGCCTCATACCCCAATACTTTTCTTGCTAACAYTGGACCATCAGGCCATTGCCCTGATTTGACTCTTCCAAGTACCATTCCACTTTATATCTTTGCTTTGCCTCTTGTTACCAAGTGGCAGCGACACATACTATAAGACTCAGCTCCAGGACTTCCTCCTACAGAAAGTTACTACTCTTTCCCTTGGCACTTTGGTCCCCACATCAATGTAATCAGAACTTTTCCTATGTCTTCAGAATCTCTGTACATCACTTTTTCCTAGCACCTATCACACACAGTAATGTCACTGATGGTTTGTAGGTGCCCCTTCAGATAGGGAAGGGGCATCTCTGTATCTTTCTACTAACAGTTAAAAAATAAGTCAGCCCAAGGATCAATTTCCTAATAAAGATTACCAAAATAAACAATGGGGGAGTTAAGATCAATTAGCGGAACTACAACCTAATAAATTTAGGTTATGAAACGTGTGCTTTGTTTCTAAAACTACTAAGTAAAAGAACCTTGAAATAAATTTTGAAAGAAAACTCAATATATATTGGGAAATAATACATCGGGCAGAAAAAGCTAATCAATAATTTTTGCAAAAAAATCTAACCCCCAAAATATCCTTTATCCAGACTGGCAATAAGCAATAAAAATAAGCTATTTTTGCCAGTCTGGATAAAGGATATTTTGGTAACAATAATTTGCAAAGTAAATTCTAAATTCAGTGGGAAAAAATAAACCATTGAAAAATTAGAAGTAATTCACAAAATAGAAAATATAACTGGTTGATATACTAAAACATTCATATTCATCAATAATTAAAAATTGGTAATAAAAACAAATTATTTTCCACCATTACTAGCATCACTTAAGAAAGGACACAGCTGCACACAAAGCTAACAGAAACTTTCTGAAAAATGACTTGGCAATATATAAAAAGGCCTCAAAAACCTCACAACTTTTAAGCCAGCAATCTCACTTTTAAGAATTTATTCCAAGGAAATAACAAGAAAACGATTTTGCTGCAAAGATATAATACAYTATTGATAAAAGGGAAACTGAACAACAAATAGTAAGGGAATACTTGAATAAACTATGGTACTTCCATAAATACAATACTACCTAGTCATTAAAAGTCAGGTTGTCAATAAAATTTAATGGTTTGAGAAAATGATTATACTAATATCAATATATAAAAACCTAGATTACCAAAATGGACATAATTCATTTTTTGCACATAATTTTTAAAAAATACATGTACTACAACAATCTGATAAGTCAGCTAATAGTGGTCACTCTGGATGGTAAAACTGTTGGTAAAGAATATTTTGTGGGTTAAATTTATTGTACATACCAGGACATTCTAAAAATAAAAGAGATGGCTCTTAATAATTATATTGGGACAAAAGATGTAAACAAGAATGTCTACTTAACTTTAATTATTTTCATCTTTTAAATTATCTGTATTGGGGGTAGGAAACTATGGCTGTGGAGCCCAATCTAGCTCAAAGCCTATTTCAATAAAATTTTACTGGAGTGTAGCCATGACCATTTTTTAATACACTGGTGGTCATGGCTATCTTTACCATCACAAGGGCAGAGTGATTCAAAAAGCTGAGAAAGAAAGCACTGTCCTTGAACTTATATCTCGCCCTTTAAAGAAAGTTTATTGATTTTGTTCTGTATTATCTATAAATGGATAAATATAACTAGCAATTTAAAAAAGCTATTTTAAAGAATGCTGTATTTGGAAGAAATGAGATAGATTTTTTTTTTTTTTTTGTAATCATAGGGTCAAAGAGATCAACATAATGATAACTATCTCAAAGAAATCCATGTTAGAATGTTCTAAAACTAGCAGGGGCAACTATGTCACTATAGTGGTCAGGAATACTGTTTTACTAACAGCCTCATAAAAAGTTCCCTAAGAGGGGCTGGGATTGTGGCTCAGTGGTAGAGCACTTGCCTAGCATGTGTGAGGCACCAGGTTCAATTCTCAGTACCACATATAAATAAATAAAAAATAAAGGTATATCGACAACTAATAAATATTTTTTTAAAAGTTCCCTTAAGAGACTACATAAAATTACTATTATTCTTCAAGTTTCTTGATGCAAAAAACAGGTACATAATGTATACAGTAATATTTCCACAGAATGCCTTACATCAAACAAATACTAAAAGTAATAATTATCACACACACACACACACACACACACAAAAAAAAAAAAACTGGATCCCCTTATCTAACATTAATTTACATAACAGGTATAATAATTTTAAAATTAACATACTGCCACTGTCAGCTAAACACAATATGCAGCAAAATAAACATTGTTTTTGTTTTAATCTAATGGAAACAATAACATCTCGGGCATACCAATGAGTGATTACTTGTTGAATTTGTAAAAGCTGTTTTTTAGATGAATTATTTTGTGTTAATTTTTAATAGATGTAAAGACTGGATAACATTCTCTTACATGACTGGTTAAACATCTCTTTAAACAGACTTGTTTATCTCCAAGTCCTTATATTCCTTCCCATCCAGATGTATTTAAATGCAATTCTGAGGAATCGAAGGCAGGGTCTTGTCTATCTTAAGTACTTTGCCTTAATCACTTAGAAAGTTCTGAAAAATTATTACTCCATAATAGTCATTTTGCGATAAATTTATTTCTAGGGTAAATTCCAAGAAAATAAGCAGACAGTTTAATACAAATCCTTTTCTTTCTTTCTTTCTTTCTTTCTTTCTTTCTTTTTTTTTTTTTGAAAAAGTATCTAGCACTTAAAAAAATGCTTAGGAGAGTGTGGGACAAATACACAGAAATAATGTCATCCCTTTAAAGAGATATAGTAATCACCTCAAATAAAACCCAGTAAGAATAAGTCACTCATGTTTTCACCTCTATAACTAGAATTGTAACTCATTTACAATGGTGCCACTACTGCTGGTGTAAAGCCCACTGCAGACTACAATCTCAGGAGTCCTCTCATCTGGATTACTTCGTAAACCACGCTAAGTCTCAGTTTCATCATCTCCAACATGAGGGCATTGGAACAGATGATCTTAAAGGACCTATTTAGATCTGTATTTTTGTGATTCTATGGCAATTAATATTTTTCCACTGCAGTACAGTCCTTTAAATCCTCAGCCATTTCAGCCTTAAAAATTCCTATGATCTATACAACTAMGATGTACTTGAAAAATGTTGTCTAAAATAATACCTATTTGTAACCATCAGTACTGTTCTCTTGCTTCCAGGAATAACACAGTGGTATCGGTAAGTCTCTCCTTCCAACTTTTTGATATGATTCTGAAAAGGAAACAAGAGTTAAGATTTGGGAAGTTTATATATTCAAGTAATATTTGTGTAATAGCTAATTATAATAAGAACGTTGGAAAAATTTTATTAGGAACAAAAGCACAGTTCTACATATTGGCACACAAAGCTAGAAAAATACCCATAGTGTGTTTATAAGTTAACTTCCATTGCTGCCCTTAAAGAAAAGATATGTATTAAGTGCTTACCAAATGATCATCTGGTATTTTATTCTGTGGTGACACAGAAATTTTAAAGTATCTATCAGAAATAATCACACATTTTAGGTAAGAAACATAAACATATGCTAATACAAACTGCTGATTTAGCATTACTGAAGTTCACAGCAAGGACTTTCAGGTGGATCTATGAACTGTCTAGCATAGAATATAAAATTTTTAAAATGTGGTGCTGAAACAATTTTCAGAGGACAGATCATGTGTCTCATCAGAATTTTTTGATGGGGGTCTAAAATCCCTCTCCAAAGTTAAGACCCAACCAATGATTTACAGAGGTAGATGTTATACCAATGATAAAATTCCAAAAGAACTGATGTTCAATGTTTTTAAATACTTGGTTGTATAGATTAAACATGCATTGAAAAACAGATTTATATGTAAAATCATATTTCTTACAAAAAGAAAATATAATGATGATATTAACATGAACATGGAGAATTTCTAAGATTTCAAAATAGTTGGCATAACTTATTTCTGAAGATGAATATGAGCATGAAYAATATAATTCAAATACAATCATAGCACATTAAAATATTTATTTTTCTTCTYACTATCTTAAAATTATTGAATTAGTAAATATACCTTAAAAACAATAAAATATTTTTATGATGTATGCTAATAAAATAATTACTGAATGTCTAGAATTCATGATTAAAGATCAGATGATAATATATAATACAGAACATAAACAACTGAATAAGACCATAATGCTTTACAACCAAGATTATTCCACTAATATTATTAAAAAGGACAATATAATCAAAATCATCACAAGCAGAGAAAGCACATTTGACATTATTTTAATGCTTAAATATACATTTTTAAAAGAAGTCTGGCCCCCAGTCATTCTTTGACAATTACAAATAGCCATGAACAGGGAAGAGAAATCCCCACAAAATTGAGGTCTCATCTGTAGGATGCATCTCACAGAAGAGCAGTTTTCACGGCGATGGTCACTTGTTTCAAGCCCTCCTATGGGAATTAGCAAAAAGCTTTTGCTATTTATAAAATGCCTCAATTTCTTCAAAGAGCAAAATGGGGAAAAACATAATAATATAGTGTATTTTTTAGCATGAAAGTTAATGTTAAAAYATTTAGATATGCAAGTACAAGAAAGTCTACCGTCTTTTTATCTTTTATTCATTTCCATTAGTTCTTAGACTACTGTGCTTCAAATTAAGAGTTTTTAAAGTATAATTTATCACCATTAACACACTTTAGAAAACCATCTTTTTCATACACTAAAAATCCACTACAGTCTGAGATTCAGATTAAGATATTCAGTCACTGATGACAGCAGTGATTGAATATTCACTCCCCTTCTTCCCAAAATGCTACTTGAGTAAATTAACAATACTTTCAAAAGGCCATTCTCCAGCAATTATTTCTTAAAATTAATTATAAGTAAATAACACAAAACATGAAAAAGCAAATATGTTATCATGTTTATCAGAACACTATTACTATTAGTAAAATGAAGTATACAGTGTAAGGCTACCTCAGCAGATGGCAATGCAAGGGCTTAGTGGTAGAGTACTTAAGTAATTAATGTACTAAGTACAYTAGTACACTAATGACTTAGTGGTAGAGTACTTGCCTAGCATGTGTGAGGTGCTGGGTTTGATTCCTCAGCACCACAGAAAAATAAATTAAATAAAAAATTTAAAAAATAGATGGTAATACAAGAATTTTAAATGCTAGTGAAAAGAAAAAGCAATGAACACCATTTCAAATCTTGTATGATCATTAACATCTAAACCAAAATAGACATTAAATTTAAAAACTTGCCACATGATGTGCAATATAAGCATTGTATGTAATATAAACAGTAAGATCTTAGGATAGCAGACAGGCAGAAGAGCATATCCTATGACATAATGGCATATGATTTAGGAATCCTAAAAGCTGAGTATTAAAGAACAAAGCAGGACTCAGCAGAAAGAATAACTTACTTAGAATATACCTATATTACAATAAGATCTAGGATTTTATTTACTCATTTTATTATACATGGTCCCTTAAGGTCAGAGTCTTTTTTTTCTTCTGTATATCCAGCATAGCTTTAAAAAAATCAGTAAATACTTTTTCTTACCCAACTAGCCAATCACAGCAAGATGGGTAARGGTAAAAAAGAACACATATCTCAAGTATCAAATGCCTACACTTGCTACCCATGAAAAAAGCTACTAAATCCTCTTAGCAGTAAACAATCTATTTCTTTCAGTAAATGATAATACAGTGTAAAGGGCTGCGTAATCTTTTTTTTTTTTCTTGTTAATGGGAATTTAACCCAGAGCTGCTTTACCACTGAGCCATATCCCAAGTCCATTTTATGTTTTATTTTGAGACAGGAAGGATCTCACTAAGTTGCTGAGGCTGGCCTAGAACTTGCAATCCTCCTGCCTCAGCCTTCTGAGTTGCTGGGATTTCAGGTGTGCACCACAGYGCCCAGTAGGGATGTTTAATATCTTAGCAAAACACTAATAAATACTACTATACATATGTAGCTAAAATAACAAAGTTTCTTGAAGTTTTGTGCTTACTGACATATAATTGTAAGAAGGGAAATCACAAGGAAAGGTTTAGTAACAAAGAGATAAACAAAGTAAACAATAAGAAAAAAAATCTTAAATTCCCAAAGTTCCCAAAAGTTGTCTCATTTAAATTGCAATACACCAGGAAACTAAAAAATTACTGCATTTATCCAAGAGGCTTGGGAAGGGTAAGTATTGGTGATGATCAAGAAAGCATCTTTAATCATTATTGTGCTTGATTCTCATACAAAACTGTACATGTCATGACCTGCTTGCCTCACTTCAATTACCTAGGCACAGGAAAAGCCTGTCAGCTACTCTTAATACTTACATGTTTGTTATACTTGGTCTCTTACAGAAGTCAGTCAGTCTCTCTCTCTCTCTCTCTCTCTTTTTTTTTTTTTTTTTTTTTTTTTTTTTTTTTTTTTGTGGCGTGCCGGGGATTTAACCCAGGGCTTTCTGCATGCTAGACAAGCACTCTACTACTGAGCTACATCCTCAGCCCCTAGGGAAGAAGTAATATTTCTTCCATATGTCCAGCACAGGCTGGTCTTTCTTTTTGCTTTAAAGTGTTTGTTTTTATATGTGAAGTATTTAATTATTTAAATAATTGTAGTTATCAAAAAATATATAATCCAATTGATAGTTTCACTATCTTCAAATTTACAACACATTAGAAATCTAAGTTTTACTTTGGTTTCAATTTTGGGGAGAGTGTGAAAGTTGTGAGATAAGATATCTTAAAAAGAAATTCAAATGTAACTTACAGAATTAACTTATGKGAGTAATGATTTTAAAATGATAATCTATAATCATTATTATTTTCTTCTCATTAGATGAATCTTCCCTAAGGATTTAAAAGCAAAAAGGTTTGGTTTTTAAAAATAAATACATATTCAAAAACCACATAATTTGCCTAATTACATATTCTACTTCTATTTATAAAAAGTAAACCAAACAATTCTGAAATAAGCATAATTGACAAGGAGATTAATTTTTTTAAAACTCTAAATGCTTAAGGCTGAAAATGTATGTAACATAATTAAAAATTATTGCTATTTATTTAGCAATAGTACTAAGGGATTATAAAAGAAAAAAACAGAGGTTGGGTTGGGGATGTGGCTCAGTGGTAGAGTGCTCACCTAGCGTGTATGAAGCCCTGGATTTGATTCTTAGCACCACAAGAACCATGGGGTRGCGGTGGAGAGGTATGGAGAAATAGAAACACTGAAAGAACATATTCTCAAAATTCATGTGCCAGCTCTCATTTGAGGATGAATTCAGTTCAGTTATTTAAAACATGTACCCCAGTCATAGTCCCATACTTGAGCAAATTTAGAGTGACTTGTGAAGCTGAGATGGGTGTAATTCCATCATCAGGACTCAAAAACATAAAAAAGTTATTTATTAGACTGGACATAACAACTATCCCCTTTTTCAACTTTACATGAAATGCACATGAACATCACCTGAAAAGGTAAGATTTTCAAAATAATAGTATAAATGTCTACTTCTGGACCCAGTAGTCTTTCTCCCATTAAATGGAGAACAGAGATTTCCTGTATTCTCTTATTTTTTATGGGGGCTCTCTTAACCCTGTATAAGTATTACCAGATATAATACCATTTTCATTTGTAGTCATTACTACAAAAAGTTGAGAAGGAGGTGAAAGCCATAAAGAAAATTTCACTAAAGTTGACTCTTAATCAAATTCACACACAATTAATACCACAGTTTGAGTTTTAAGGATGAAATCAAGTAGTAGTATAGGAAACATTTACTCCTGTATTTCCAGTTCTTGCTGTGTAGGCAGAAAAAGAAAGAAAAAAAAGTTAGAAACACACAAAAAGTTTAAACATAGTCATATATAATAAAAAGCAAAGGTTAAAAACAATTAAGAGTCATTTTAATATCAAGAGGAACATATTTATTTCTTTTGGGGGAAATCAGTCATGGGAGAATAGCAGTTTATACATGTATATATTACTTTAAATATAAAAAAGTTAAAACTAAAACAAAATATAAAAACTTTAATTTTCAAGGTTTAATGAGATTATAATCATATATACTCTTTTTCCTCTTCCTCCAGTTTTATGTACCTAAATAAACCTAGATGTACAAAGTAGCGCAAATAAATTAATTTGGTGGTAAGAAAAGAAAGAAGTGACATTCCAGTATTTACCTACAAAGCAGGAAACCAAAACTAACACCATTAACTACATGAGTTTCCACAGAAATAGATATAGCCTATGACATCTTCTGATGTCATCCTTCCTACACACACATAAAAAAGCTTTGTTCCTGTGCCMAAAAAAAGTTACCCATTATTTCCATTTAAAATGTTATGTTAAAATTAAAAACAGTCAAATTCTACTCTACAAATCATGTATAATCCTTCAAAAAAGTTCACGATTCAGGGACTTAAAGACCCACCCATGAAATTCTCACCCTTGAAATCTTTCTTTTTTTTTTTTTTTTAATTAAGTATCACTCATGGGTTTGGGTCGTGGCTCAGTGGCAGAGAGCTTGCCTCTCACATGTGAGGTASTAGGTTCGATTCTCAGCACCACATGAAAATAAAACAAAATAAAGATATTGTGTCCATGTATAACTAAAAAATATTTTAATAAGAAAAAAATCACTCATGACTGTGAAGAATAGAATTTACCTCAAATAAGTCATAGCCCTCAGATTCTTGTCTATCATATGGACGAATGATACCATCTTCCTGAATCAGGCGTGGGGGACGGAGGCTAGACACTTCCTCAGTTGATTCTGCTGCCCTGAATAAGAAAGCAGAAAAAGGGTAAGAAACTAAGTGAGAATCTTTCAAAATAATACAATTATACATGCTGATTAGACACATAAATATTTTATAAAAATTATCAGTAATTTTAAATAACTTGTCCAAGTTAAGACAAAAAAACATTAAATCCATGTTTATCTGACTCTAAGTTAGCCCTCTTTTCTTAAGGAAAAGAAAATGTCAAATAGTAAAAGCACAGATTGGATTATTTACTCTTTGTATCCTTGGTACCTTCGAATCACAAGTATGAGCAAACATTGAATAAAAGAGAAACTGAGCCATAAAAAATTATTTCTTATTCCTTTCTGGTAGCACTTTACCTTGTAAAGCTAAAAAGCTTCCAAAGAAACATAGAGCCTTAAGAGCAGGCAAAACATCTCATCTATCTATGCAGTCCTAGTACCAATTAGAACACAGAAACAGCTCACACACAACATGCTCTCCATACCTCTGAATGCCTTGGAAAGTACTACTGGCCATATCTATGATTCCACCAGTTGGACGAGCCACCGCACCCACAAGCCCTTTTCCAATTCCTTTAAAGAATCCAGCAGCTCCCTCCTTTTTGGCACCTTCAGAAAACCATAAATAATAAATATAAGATATTTTAAAATAAGCAAAGACCTGAGCCAAACTTGAAGTAGGACAGAAAAGCCTGAACACCTAAGGAGTTTTCAGGAAGCAGGATAATTGACTTCAGTCAGTCCAAATTCTCTGATCAGAGATTTTGGCAATTCTTTGAACTTTATAGCTAGTGGGAGGAGGGGTTTGGAGTTTTTACATGACAAGTGCTTTACTTCCACATCCTCTAGACCAGGAGTTTTGCAAGTTTTTTTTTTTTTTTTTTCCCCCTGCAAACCTGGCATTTACAAAAAGAGGAAACTACCAACCACCATATCCTCTGCATGCAGAAGTTTTTTCTTTTCTTTTTTGGTACTGGGAATTGAACTGGGGATGCTCAACCACTGATCTACATATGAAACCCTATTTTGTATTTTATTTAGAGACAGTGTCTTACTGAGTTACTTAGCACCTCACTTTTGCTGAGGCTGGCTTTGAATCTCAATCCTCCTGGAGCCTAAGCCTCCTGAGCTGCTGGGATTACAGATGTGTGCCACCTTGCCTGGCTAGAAGTTTTTTCTGACATCTCATGTAAGAAGCTTTCTGAGAAAAGGGGGGGRTTTACAAGCCACAAATATGGTGGGGGTTTCTGCTTAATTAATGGTGGGGGTCTCTCGGTAGGGGGTCTCTGACCTACTTCAAATCCAGAAAACTTCAAGAATTTGAAATTCTGAACAAGTTAAATTTAATCTTAATGTGGTAAAATCGTGGTTCTCTAAGTGTTAAATGCAAATTCACCCTAGACCTCCTAAATCAGAAATTAGAAGGTGCGGGGACAGCAATCTATGTTTTAATAATCACTTCATCAAATCCTTAAGGCATGCTCAAGTTTCAGAACTATTGACTTAAGAGTTTAATCAGCATTTGTGACTGGAAGGTCTAAGAACTGACAGGAAAACCTTCTCTCTCTTTTTGTGTGTGTGTGTGTGTATGACAACCATCAAGATTTTTCAAGCAGTGTACTTTTAAAAATTATAACAACCTTATCGCAAAAGTTTTCACATGAAAGAAAACCTATGGCCATTAACAATCTTCCTCCATTCTCCATTTTCCCCTACCCTTCCTCACTTGATCCTACCACCTAGTTTACTTCCTTTCCCTGCTCCCTCCCCAGAGCTAGGAAACCATCTAGAGAAACTTCCTATCTTTATGGATTTTCCTATTCTGGATTTCAAACAAATGGAATCACTGAACATGTAGACAGACTACTGTACCTGGGCTCTTTTTGCTAAGTATCATGTTTTCAAGCATAGGTGTCTTTCATCTTGCAGCATGTATTAGTACCTGATTTCTTTTTATAACTAAACCCTATTCCATTGTATAGATATGCCATGTCTTAATTTATTCATTCATCAGGGGAGAGACATTTAAGATTTTTCTACATTTTGGCTACAGTGAATAATGCTATGAATATTCACATACAAGCTTTTGTTTGGACACCTTTTTCAGTTCTTTTGGATATATATATATATATTTGAGAAGAATGACTGAGTCATATGGTAACTCCAGGTTTAACCTTTTGAGGCAAAGCCAGATTATTTTTCTCCAACGTGACTGTACTTATTTATATTCCCACCAGCGGGGCATGAGAATCATATCTCTCCACATTCTCTTTAACACCTGACTTTAGTAGTAAGGGTAATGTAGTATCTCACTGTGGTTTGATTTACATCTCCCTGTGACCAATGAAATGTGTTTACTAGCCATCTGTATATCTTCTTTGGAGAAATGCCTATTCATGTCCTTTGCCTATTGAGTTATAAGAGTTCTTCACATACTCAAGATATAAGTCTCTTATAATTTGCAAAAATTTTCTCCCATCCTGCAGCTCTTTTCCTTTTCTTGTTGGTGCCCTTTGAGAAACAAATATGTTAAAATTTGATAATGTCCAGTTGATACACATCTAGAAAGGCTTTACCTAACCCAAAGTAATAAAAATTTATTTCTATATTTTCTTTTGAGTTTTATACTTCTGCTCTTATATTTATGCATTTAATCTATTCTGAGTTATATAGTTTCTCTCTTACATTTATGAATTTAATCATAAATATACAGTGTAGGTAAGGGTTCAATTTCATTTATCATGTGGATACGAGATGTCTCAGCACCATCTGTTAAAATGATCATTCTATTCTATAGAATGGACACAACCTAGTGTTCAAGGAATAGACTTATAGTCCTAAAAGGAATGGGAACCCCTGTCAAAGATCAATTAACCATAATTGTAAGGATTTATTTCTGGACTCTCAATTGTATCCCATTGATCTATTTGTCTATACTAATATCAGTATCAAGCTTAGCTTACTGCAGCTTTATACTGTAGTAAGTTTTAAAGTTCGAAAGTGTAAGTCCTTCAATTTTGCTCTTTTTTTTTGAGATTGCTTCTGCTAATTTAAGACTCTCCAATTTATACATAAATTTTAGATTCATCTTGTCAATTGCTGGACAGAAGTCACATGGGCTTTTGATAGGAATTACAACAGAGAGCACATTATTTTTTTTAATGGGAATAAAAACAAATAAAAAAACAAGCCAATTGCTATTGAGGGCCCCAAAGAATCTAGACTGTCGATGGAATTGTTGAAAACTGCACTCAAAGTCTAAATCACAGACAGTACTTAATCTTTCTGCTTTCTGAAGAAAATATATTACAGTTGAAGACTATGTATATAAAATAGAGTCCGTACTCTCTGCATTAAACATCTAGTAGTAACAACATCTGCTAGTCAAGCATCAGCTCTTCCAGCTCTGCACAGGAAGGAGCCCTTCTCAACCTACCTTCCATAGGCTTTGTTATTATTCCCGTCACTCCACCAACAACTCCCTGAAAAAAAAAAAAAAATCAGTCACAGCCTTGACTGAAGGGAAGGTGCTTTATTTCAAACCAACACTAGGGGTCTCTACACACATACTAGAAACGATTGCTTCTTAAAAAACAGGACTTGATAATGTGAACAACATGCACATATAAGTAAGCACTGTGATTTTATAAATATTAAATCACAGAAAATTTTAAATTAGAACACCTTACAGAAGTAAAATATTATAATAGAAAGAGCAGTAAATAAAAAGATTCTAACTCTGGTTCTGGTATATTCAGCTATATAATCCAGGCAGTTGATTCATTATCTTTAAGCCTCAATTTCTACATCAGTAAAAATGAGTAGAGTGAAATATCTCTAAGATCTAATTACAAATTTTAATGAGATTACTTTACAAATTAGTGAAAGTGTAGAAAACTGAAAATAAAGGAAACTCCCAAGAATAGCAAGTAACCCTGACAAAGCACTTTAGAGTATATAACAGACATTAAAAGTCACTGGCTCAAACACAGCAGTTGCAGTTTCCTAAAATTATTTCCAAACTTAAAATATTAAAGTACTTACATGTTCTTAATAATTTCAAGTAATGGTAATAACTAAAATTACTTTTATATTCTGTAAACACTTAGAAAGAGAACTGGACACACATTAAACTGAAAAGATTATATACCTTTAGAAAGCGGTGAGGGGTGATAAAGAATACTCTAGCTTTATCTATGTTGTTTTAATACTTTTTATTAAAAATAGAACTTAAATGTTCTTGTAATGATTTGTATGGAAAGAATTCACTCAGTACCTATATAATTAAGCAGTAGTCATATGTTATCTACATAAGTTTAGAAGATTTAAAAAGCAATGAAAGGCAGTTCCTGGTTTATCACTTAAGTTTAATACATTCCTTGCACAGAAATGGATGACTAGAGGACTAAATCTGCTTCTCAAGAGCCCTTCCTCCCTCTAATATCACCATTATCATATTCCCCTGATGCTCACTTCCTCCCCTTCCACACTAGGGCTAAGGTGCCATCAATTAGAGATACCCCAGTCCAAATGGAAAACTATGTTGGGGATTTGGGAATAGCACTGGTGGAGCCAGGGAGGAAGGAGAGCAAAAAGGAAACCACAGCTCCCAAAGTTATCACTATTGCTACTCTGACAGACCTAGACTTACAAGTGGCATTCTAAGTTTCAAATGATAGCTAGAGTGCATATTTTAAAGTATACATATATAAAAGTCGAGGGTTTTTTGAAGAGTCAGCTGGAGACTTACTCGCAGAAAGCCCTTCCCTCCTCTGGCCAGGCTGTCTCCAAAATCTTTAGGCTGTCGACCCATCTCTTCTCTTCTTTTTTGCTGATATTCCTTGTCCATTGTAATTGCTGCCAAACCTTTCCCAACAGAACCTGTGATTCGAGATACAACTCCTGCTGCACCACCTACAAAAAGGCCCAGGAGAGTGAGTCACATTGTTTCTTTAGAAAACCATCATCACAGTACACAATATACAACTGTTTTAAACTAACAGGTGCTTAAAATCCTCATATGCAAAAATGTAGAAATTATTTTTTGCCATTTATCAAGAAGAGGAATAAACTTATTTAAATAAAGTACAGTGATTCAACACCATCAAGTTATACTAAAAAATCAGCAGRCTACTTTAATTTTCCATTTAAAAATAAGGAAATATACACCCACATAGGTGATACATACCTACTGTGTGTCCAAAGAGACTTCTTACTCCAATCACTAATCCTTCAGCAAATTCTTCAGGGCCTTGAACAGCACCCTGGCTCAAAGAAAAGTTTACTACTTAAAATTTAAATTAGTTTAAGACTTTCAATCTAATATTTCAGGGTTTCTGTGAAGACATAGAATGTGTTATGATCCATAAAGACTGGGATGCAACAATTTTTATCCTGTATCCCAAATAATGACACCACACCCACTGTGATAGAAAATATTTTAAAAACACATGACCTCAGAGGATTCCATAAGATAACAAATTTAACAGGTGTGAATCATAGGCTTTAATTACAATCTGAAGTTGGCCTTCCAGTACAAAGTTCCTTTAGAATGCTCAAACTGACTACACTAGCAATAGACTGAGTCCACATATTTTGGACTCTTTGTTCTTTCATTTATTCTTTCTGTGTTGTCCTATTAAAACCCTCACTATACTAGGCTCCTGAACAAGTCTGTTGAAAGCTTGAATATGAAGCAAAGTCAATTTTTAATGCCCCATTAATCCTTTTGTGGAAGACATGGGCACATTTATTGCATAGAAGAGCACTAGACATGCTCATTTAGTTTTAAAATAACCTTTCAATATCATCTCAAGTACTTTTAAATAAAAATGTAAAATTGATTTTAAGTATTTAAACATTATTCAATTCCTAGATACAATTAAAATACAAATTATTATTTGTCAATAAAAATAGACTATCCATTTTTCTATATGTACACTGAAATTAAAAAAACAATACCTGGAAGGGTTCATAGAACAATGCTTCAACTCCTTCAGACAGACCTCTAATTAATCCAAATGGGTTTCCAAGCACATCTAAGCCCAACACAAGGACATACATCTGTTTTAAAAACTAAAGAAGAAAAAAAACCAGTAAATTAAGTTATTTACTACTGTTGACAGAAACAACATCAAGCCACACTTAATAGGAAAAAAGTGGGGATGCTGACTAAATTAGGTTTGTGTTTTCAGGCAAGCTGTGTAGAACAACAACTACATACATTACCAGATCTTCAACAATGTAAGTACAAGGCACTGTGTTACACTTTACATGGAGCTCTCAAATTAGACAGAACTAAGTTTAAGGCACAGTCTGTTAATAAGCAGTTATGTGACCTTGGACAAGTCACTTAGTCTCTATCAGCCTCAGCCTTTTCATCTATTAACACAGGAGGTTATACTCATGTTGCATGGTGAGAATATATATTAAATGAACATGTAATTCAGTAATTGTTAGTTGTTTTTATTATTGTATTATCATCACTAATGAACTACATGAGGAATAATTATTAACTGAAAAAAAATGGACAATATAACTTATTTGAACACATAATAATAATGTCTATACTACTATAGGTGAAAAGATTTTCCAGCAGAAGATGGAAAAAGAAATATCACCATGCAGCTCCATGGCACAGCAATGGTACCTGAGTGGCCTGAAACAACTATTTTTTGTATACACATCCAAACCATGAAGTGACTGATGCAAAGGAAGGAAACTGCTTAGAATTCCTCCTACAACTCCACTAGACTACATTTAGAAACTGCTGTCACCGAATAATTTAAGTTAATGATTCCAAARTTACTATTATTTCCCAAAGTTGAAAAGGTATTACTGCAAAGGGAAAATAGCATGGGAGTAAATTTTTAAAAGGTATATAAAGAGTGGTAGAAGAAAGAGAAATTAATCATTTAAGAAATCACTAAGTATTGAGATTACAAATTGAGGTAAATATGTAAACATTACCACACACTATACAATCACATACAAATATTTTGCTTAAATATTTTATGAAGTATATTCCTTATGAGCTACTAAGATGGGAAATTACCTGCTCACTGTAATGCCGAACAACACTCCACATGAGCTGATCTCGCTTGTAAAACTGGTATCGAATTTCATAATAAGCAAGTCTGGGAGGAGAAAAAGGAAAGATTCGATGATATTAAGATTATTTTCTGAACAACTGTATGATATATGATATGTCAAAATCAATGTAATGTTTTGAGCAACCAATAAATTTCTGATGTTTAAAATAAAAAAAAAGATTATTTTCTGAAAGAAAAAAGGATTTGAAATTTCAGCAATAACTGAAATAATTAGTCATAGTTATTTCTTTCACAATTAACTTTGTATATCTGCCACATACAATTTATGGTTGATGTCTTATCATTATGGTAACAAAATTATTATAAATATAGTATGGTCTCATAAGTTTGTCATAAACAAAAAGTAATAGTTTTAAAAAGTCAACAATCATCCACCCATACCATAATTTTTAAGTTTGTTCTTCTCATTTCCCACTTTGAATTCTTTCTTTTCTGTGCAACTATAAAGTATCTAAAACATTTTGTATGCCACTTTTATTCTAAACATTGTGCAAACATATTTCTCTATATCTTTATTCAAAACTCCTATGTCATCATTTTGAGCAGATGCCTAGCATTCCATTTTGTGGTGGTGCCATAAAGAACAATGGTCAGACATGCCCAATTTCTGGTTTAAAAAAAAAAAAACAATTAATGTTACCATGTGTATATTTTATGTAACTCTCTGGTTGCATTTCAAAGTTTCTTAAACTGAATTCCCCCATAAAACAATTACTAAAGGAAAGATAACAATAACATATGTGTGATATATACAATGTATATATTTATGATGTAAATGTAATATCTCAACAGACACTCACATCCTTCCATTCATACCAAGAGAATAAAAAAGTGCACACTTCTTAGATCCAATTCGATCTAGTACTAGGATTACTCATATTTTGAAATCTTTGACAAATTATATATATTGTAAAAATAAAGTCGGACAACTCCAATACCTGTCAATCCTGATCTGCTTTGTAAATTATCTCTTATTTTCCTATGGCTATTATCTTTAAATCTTTTCATCAATGCTCAATATTAAGATGATTTATCACCTMTATCATAATTATCAGTATTTTCCAGTTTTTTCCTTAATTATTTTCACCAATTTTGCTATGAAGTGGTCTCTCTCTCTCTCTCACTTTGCAGCGATGGGTGTCAAATGCAGGACCTTGCACAACCTAGGCTAGAGCTCTACCATTGAGTTATATCTCCATAATTTTTATGTAGTCAAAATATCTTGTATTTTTTTCTCAGTGCTTTTAAGCTTGAAAGGACTTCTCAAAACTTGATAATAATTAACTTCTCTTAAGTCTCTTCACTTTGAATTTTGTATTTTATCCTTCATTTCCTCTGAAATTTAGTGCACATGTCAGATGAGAATACTCTAAATTGACTTTTTTGTATTCCCAAGTAACTATTTGTTCTAATACCTTAGTTAAATATTGAATTCAAATAATGATTGAATGTACATTTATCTGTCACACATAAACATTCTCACATTAAATGTAGCAAGGAGTTCTTATTTCCAACTTTGCTAAATGGTTATACTGAAATCTTTCCCAACTGCTACATATTTCTAAATATAACTATTTTAAAATACAGTTCCTTTACAATATTCTATACTAAAATAATTCCATTTTTATTCTACATTCATGCATTATCTAGATATGAGTATCACAAAAATTCACCCTTAATTGTAACAAATAAAATAAGCATACCTAAAGTACATAAAGAAATGAACCAAACTCTTCAAGTATGAGTAGTAAGAGTCATCTATTTTCTAGTCTAATGTGGTACAATGGAGAGGATATCCAGGAACATAACCTTGGCACAAATGGTACAAATGCTTTCCAATGAACTTTAACAAAAAAGTCTTACTTGAATATAAGGTCATCCACATCAGTTAGAGTAGCACCTATGCTTTTCAACAGCAGGTTAATAGAATGAATTGCAATCATTTCCTGTTTTTCTTTGTCTGATTCTTCACCTCCAGAACCCAAAGACAGACTCAAATGCAACTAAAAGAAAAATCATGTTCAATAAATGAAACATAAAAACAAAAAAATTAAATACTTAGGTACCAGACTAACTGATGCAACCAAATGTATCCTTCAAAATTAATTTGATTCCCAATCAATCTATTCCTGTGAACATTACACAGAATATACTTTTGATTCTCATTTTTTTGGATAAAATTACAGTCTAACTCAAAAAGAAAGATCTATTTGAAGTATAAATACCATTTTCATATGGAGGAGAGCTTTCACAAAAATGGCATAATCATCTTAAGAAGAAAAACATGTCACAAGTAGTCTGCCATCAGAACAATGGATATTATTTATTTTCAATTAAGGTAAATCATTTGTGGAAAAATTGAGATAATAACTGATATAACTATGTCACAACAATAACATGACAAATATGGTAATAGTTAGCAAGTTGCCAAATAAGCTTTTAAAAGAGTAATAAGGTTTTCAACTTCCATAGATGCTAAGAGCCACAGCCAAGTAATATGATGCATGGCATTTTTGGTTGAAAGGTGATGCCAGCTAGCCATTGAGATGATATGATTATGTTAAGATTTGCATTCATATGGATATTGGACTCCTGCTGTTCACCTAGGCCTGCTAAGGGACTCCTGGAAAGTTCCCATTGGAGGAACTTCCTCTGGGGTTCTGGGAGAACGCCATGTGAGTGGATCGGCAATCTTCCTGGGCGCGGGCGCCTATGGGCATTGGCGGCAGTTTCAAAAATAAAGTTTGTTCCTGCTTGAGTGRCTCCTGATTTTGTGCCCAGCCAGACTGTGGCACATAGACACTCCCACTGATTACTTAAATGTGGGATTTTCCCATTTCCATCTGGCTTACATTCTTTGCAGTATCAACACTGGCGTATAGTGCAAGAACACATATATAAAAGATAATTCAACATGACAAATAAAGTTGATCACTCTCCTTTCTCATTCTGCATTTTTTAGGCATTTTACCTAAATGATGTAGAGCTCGAGTAGAATGGACATAGGGTGAGGCCAGGAAAACCTGGCTGTTTTTTCTTTAATGTGGATTAACCATGTGTAAAGTCAGGGAGTGTTGAGGTCCAGGAAGATAATCTCAGGTGGAGAGAGCTCCTACTTTTCCCTAAGGCAAAATCACTCAGCACTAAGAAAATAACTGTGGCTCATTATTCGACTTCATGGCACAATTCCCAGTGTGCCTAAAAACATGAGTAAGTAAATGACCTTTAATACTCCTCAAGATTATAAATTCCATGAAGTTATTTTGTACCTCCATGGCAATTTTATAACAGGCATTCAGTAAATTTTTGTTGAAGGTATTGTTTAACCCCATAAATAACTGATTTTCATTTACTCCTAAGAAATTGTGTATAATATATCATATAAAACAATATAAATCTTACACTTGATACTGTTGCTATGTCTGATACCATCAAACATATATATAAATTTAAAAGAATTCTATTTTATAAATCCATTCATTTAGCTGGATAGACTAAAAATGAAACTGAAACTGCTATCAACAGTTTTTGAGAATGTAAAGGATCATCGATATTTTAAAGAGTTACTTAATTGTAAATCTGGCCCATTACACAAGTTCAGAGCATTATGGTTGATAGCATTTGTATATTTGCTAGCTGTAGTCTTCCCCTGTAAAAGCAAAAACAACAAAAAGGGAAAAGGAAATGGGTTCATAAAGCACAAAATCAGGCAAGTGAAAGGTATCCAATTTTCCACTTCCTTAGCTACAAACAAATTCTGGAAATGAGAAGAACACCCCATGAACAGTATACTACTGACTTCACCGTTTTCACATTCTGGTCAGAGCACTCATGGCTTACTGTTTAGACAGTGCTAGTAGTTACAAAGTGCAACCRAAACATTAAACCTTGGTGAGTACTGCTATGCTTAATTAAGAAGTTAGCTTCTTCCTTGAATAAAGAGGTGATTAATTCAAGACTAGAGAACATGATCTGATAGTTTTTCTGTGAGAATTACGACTGACATATGTTACAGAGAATTGTCTTAATTATTATGATTAATCAAACAAAGTTCCTGGCAAATAATGTGATGAAACAAATAAGAAGCTACCTTTAAACACAGACCCTTTAAAAGTTCTAAAACAATTTCACTAAATTTTCAAGATAATTATTATAACAAACCTTAACAGGAGATATATGGAAATGTTCAAAGAAACTAAGAATTGACATATCAGTCATTGATGTCTCCATTAATTCTGCGTTTAAAGCATCGATATCTTGTTGGATTAATTTTGTCTGAAAGAAATTAAATAGAAAAATGTAAAATTTTTTATCTACTATAATTTCCTTAGAAACTTTTTATCTACTATAATTTGATTTAAATTTTTTAACTTTATATTTTTCCCAAGGAATAAAAATCATTACCCGTTTTCTTTCAGCTTCTGGATCAGTTGTTGGGGTGAACAGTGCAACAATAGCTCCAAGAAATCCTTGATCAACTTTTAAGGCCATTTCTTGAATAAGGACCATAAAATACCTATGGAAAAAAAAATTAAGATGGAAAAGGGTTTCAATCAATCCTGGTGATTTTCAATGTTAAAACTATGATTTTATCAAAGTCCACAGTAAGATCTTATTTCTTTGTCTCTTAAAAATCATGTTAATAAGATTGAAGTCTACTTAGATTGATACTTTCAGTACACTAAAAACTTCACTGAGGTAGTACAGAGGTACTGAGTAATACTGAGGTAATATACGGTATTAACATCACTCAGAAGTCCCAAGCACTCAAATGTATCATGTCACAGTAAACATAATTATAATTAGAAAATGCAGCACGAATCACCTAATTTTTAAAGTGTATAGCAAGTGCTTGAAAGAAGACAGCTCACAAATACATACTTCATTTCTTTTTCACTATTTTATATTCTAATTGTAGTTACAAAGAGGAGAAGGTGTTTGAAGGAATTCTACATTTTAAAATATGTACTATTATATAAATACTTATAAAAAATTACTCAACCTAAAGTACATTAATAGATTCAGTTGGAAAATAATTTTTATACAGAAGTCATTTTCAAAAAGAGTAATATTTAGTTTCAAAACAGATTGTTTTAAATTCCTTTAGATAAACAGCAGAAATCTTTCTTACTTGAATTGTAAGACTTTGCTGTACTCATTAAATCGTGTGATGATACTCACATCAATGAAAGGTTTGGGCTCTAAAAGAAAAAAAAAATAATAAAGGTGAAATTATCAAAGCTTAATACTAGGTCAAACTAAAGTCTAACTTCTATGAATAAGGTATACCTGTATTTCTTTTGTTTTTTACCTGAGTCCAAAGCAATAGATTTTGGAGGGGCCACAGGATGAAATACAACAGGGAACATTGTACCTGGTAACTGATTATCAACCTGAAAGAAAAGGAAATCAACTGAGCAAAATTTAAAATTATTTAGACATAAACTTTCAGTTTCACAGGTATTATGAAAAACATTAATTTAATCTTAACTATCAGCACATACATATGGTACCAATAAAATTTTTACTTTAAATCTGTAAAACTTTTTATACACTTCAGAAAGGACAAGCCATTATATAAAATAACAGCTTAAGAATTGTACATCATTAATGCAAATATCTGTATCTGGATCACACAGGATTTCAACGTTCTATAGTTTAAATAAAATACAAGAACAGACTGAACATGAAAACATAGGATAGGCAGAAATAAGAAAAAGAATAAAAATGTCCTAAATAATACTTAATGGTTAAAAGGAAGTACAGAAGGGAGGCTTTGAGACAGTAAGCAAGCAAGTCCCCAAAAATAACTTCCAATAAAGCCCTGCTCTTTGGTAGGAAGAATGGGTGAACAAAATCTTATTTGGAATCCCTTAAAAAATTTCAAGAAAAATTTAAAAATCACATAATCTCAGTCTAAGAAAATACTCTTGGCAGGTTAAATGGTCAACTCAGTCTCACAATGGTTACACAGTCTCTGGACTTGGACTGTGGGTGAGATGCTGAATCCATGGAATATAAAAACAAAAAGAATAGATACAACTTATGGGTTGTATGTATGTATGTATGTATGTATTTATTTATTTATGTGCCGAGGACCTCACACATGCTAAACATGCACTTCACCACTAAGCCACACTCCCAGGCACCCAAAAATTGCCTATTTCAATGTAGGTTATAACAATATAAAAAAGAAATTTCATTTCCAAGATTCCTAAAGTGATTAGAACATCCATTTAATTGAGGATGACAATCTTACCTGAAGCCAGTACAACCTGGCCCTTAAACTTCTCTGGTGAGGAGACTGCTTAAATTCAACTTGAATTCCTGATAAAAAGTCTCGTTTAATAGGGCACCGAATAGGAAGACGCATTTCCATTGGAACTTTACCAAAATTTACCTAGGGAGAAAAAAAGCACATTTTTTTTCTCGGATGAGTTACCCTATTTTAAATATCTGTTTCTTCATCAGGCAGAAAGAAAAGGTTATTTTTATCTCAACAAAAGAGATAACTATATTAAGGTGATCTATTAAGATTTCTGAAGTAGAAGCCACCACTTTTCTAGCAAATTACTAGAAAAAGAAGAATTCTATAAGTTTTCAATTATAGAAGTAATACTTAAAAATTATTTATATAAAAAATTTAACAGTAAAGGAAAATTCCAGCTAATTCTAAACAACCTTTGTTACACAGCAAATAATTAATGGCTTATTTATCCTTGACACTAGTGATATAGTTTATTTTTCACTGAAGCACAGCCAATACTAATTGGGGCATTCACAGAGAATGTAACAAACTCAATCTTCAGATATTAAAGACAAAGAGAAGCCAAAGTATATGACTAAACCAGATTGAGCTAAAAACCGCTGTCAAGCTTCTGGAGTCTTCTTGGAGTAAAGATAACATTTTATTTCAGCTTTGTAAGGTATCCTAGAGAGCACACCTTTATTTGTGGATATCTACCCACATCCAACAATCATTCAGTGAAACAATTTAATTGAGCAGGATTCATTATTTTTCATCAATGAAATACATAAAGCAGTCTTTATTTAACAATATACAGGTATCAGTTGAAATATAAGAGAAAAAAAATTTCAATAAGCAATCATGATTTCCCCACAGTATTACTAAAAACAAGTTCCAAGAAAATGATTTGTAAATAGAACAAATTGTAAAAACAAAGACTTAAAGCATGCTTAATAGTATGAGTTAATAACATTTTAATTCAAAATACACTAGCAATCCTACTACTAAATAAGAGTTTATTTACTAATATGTAAATTAATTTCTGCACACAGTGAGCATTAAAGTTTTCTTTATTCCCAACAACAAAATAAACAAAGAAAAACTATAAAACTATGAACTACAAACATATAATGCTTAAAACAAAAATATTTTGGCATACCTCAAAATTACTGTCTAGCTTAATCCAGCCACGGTCTCGTGATACTTGATATTTCTGATATGACTGTTCCAGTAAGATTATCTGCTTTTGACTAAAAGGCTTCCATTTCTGCTTTGGTTTCATCTCCCAAACAACACCAGAACTAAGATAATTCACACACACAAAAATTAAATTAGAAATCCATATATTTAAGTTTGTGGAACTACTATTCAACTCCAGATTAATGTGACTGACTACTAGTTAACCATGGAAATTGTATTCATACAAGAGATTTTTTAAATACCAAACTATAACTGTGTAAAGATACATAAGGAATAGGGTCAGGAGAAAATATTTTTCAATCACACTCTGATATCAATCAATTCAAGTATTGGCAGACTTTTTCTTCAAAGGGCAATGATGTTTTTAGGTATTGTGGGCTGACACAAAATCAAGATAATACTGTATGTAGTTAAATATCAAGAAAAAAAAACTTCCATAAATTTTCTGAGGAAATTTAAAATATAAAATAACAATTGAGTATAATTTTTTAAAACATAGGTCTATTAGATAAAAATATTATTCTATTAATGTTTCTTAATATTAAAATCCACTACAAATATTCATCTGTTAATGCTGATGTGTAATGAATATCTACAATGTCTTTTCACACAGATATTGCTGAATACTGATATATTTTATTTTTTAATTACTTTAATATATTACCTGAAGGCATTTATAAAATTCTACCTATTTCCTTCTCTTGATATTTGCTTTTTTAGCCTATTAATACCTTACAGGTCAATCATTTCCAGTGGAAGATTAAAAATTCTCAATTGCAAAAAATTGATTCTGAAATGTAGAAATTTTTTTTGAATTTATATTAAAATCAGAAAAAAAATGTTGCTGGAACTGAAGGTGCAGGTCATAATTGAATCAGACATGATTCAATTAATTCCTTGTTGGTTAAAAACTCCATGGGACTGATGATGATTAAGTCCAGGGCACTTCATGAAGTTCACTATTGGACACTACAAGTTTGACAACACATGGCAGATTCAAATATTTTCCATAAAAATCTGCTGATAAATATATAATATAAAACATACACTTGAAGTGCTTCACATTTTGAAAACTTTGTCCAAGTCCTTTTCTGCTCCACACATCTTTTCCCCATAATAAGTTTTATCTCAGAAGATTCTACCTAAGTTGTACTGAATTAGTATTTCTTCAACCTGTTTGAAAACATTTTTGCATATAAACATTCTATGTGAACTACTGATAAAGAATAAATCTTTAGTCACTTCAAACTCAGCACTGACTTCTCAAATATACAGCAACTGAGCAGTACTAAGAACATCTGTTGACTCATCGGGAGCCATGGAAAAACACTCAGTATCATTTGCCCTGCTTTTTAATTGACTATTGATGTTGCTCTGAATGTCCTCAATTCTTTATGCAGTTGTTCTCATGGAAAGGCTAATGGCCTTAGACAAGTTTATTTTCTGTGGACACATTTCTTTAACTGCCACAATCAGACATGATTCAATTAACTCCCTATTGGCTAAAAAAAAGGTTTCTGTGCTTGATCAACACAAATGAGTCATTCAGAAACTTACTTTGATTATAGCCTCATTTCTGTTGTTTTATTTTTGTGAAGAAATTCTGCTGCTATGAGATATTCTGTCATAAATTTTCTAATTTTTCTGGCCCTGGTTTTCCTGTGATTTGGAAATGCTGTCATGTGTGCTTAGTATGAAAATGTCAATATATTTGGTATTACTTTAGCACAGCTATAATATCATAATTTWAAAAAAGCTTTTGATTAAGAAGATAATCCATATTCCACTATAATGTAGAAGAGTGACATTCAAAGTCCACTATTCTTATTTTTACATGATGGATGCCCATTGAGCATCTTCATATGCAGTAAAAGCAATGTGTATGTCACTCACTCTGATCAGTAGTATACTGTGCAGCATGGCTATGTTCCAGTAAAATTTTATTTATGAGCAAAAACCTCTTCATATAATTTTCATGTATTACAAAATATTTTTCTTTTGGTTGAAAAAATCTCCTTTACATTGAAGGCTATATAAAAATATGCAGTGAACTAAATTTGGCTTACTGACCATACTTTGCTGACACGTGCATTAGAGAATACCGTTAGCAATATGGCAAAATATGAATTGGTAAATTTTAATTTACATTGTTGATATTAGTCGACAGAATGTAAACAATGTCTTSATTATATAATGTGTTTAGGACATGAAGTCAGTGAAGGTACTGAGTAAATATAAATTTGTTGTAGTTGTTGATATAAATCCAACAACTACACATAATAAAAACTCTGAGAAAACTAGGAATGGGGGGGAACTTCCTCAACTTAATAAAGGGCATTATTAAGATCAGGAATAAGGCAAGGACATTCATTCTCACCCTCCTATTTAACATTGTACCAGAAGTCCTAGATAGTGTAGCTGGACAATAAAATAAAATAAAAGGTCCAAATAATCTGAAGGTACAAATAATCTGAAGGGAAAATAATGCTACCTTTGTTCACAGATGACATCACTGTAAACACAGAAAATTTCAAACAACTAACAAAAACATTCCTGTAATTAATAAGAAATTATAACAAGGTTGACAAGAAACAAGATTAATATTATTCAAGTCAAATGCTTTGATATGTTTGCAAAAAAACAACTGGAATTTCAAATTAAAAATAATATGATTTACCCTAGCACCAAAGAACTGAAATACTTAGGTACAAACAAAATATGTACATGATCTATATATGAGGAAAACTACAAAGGCTGGTGAACAAAGTTGATGATCTAAGTAAACAGAGAAATAAACATGGATATAACAACTCAAGATTGTTAAGATGTCAGTTCTCCCAAATTAATCTACACATTCAGTCCAATCCCAATCAAAAAAGTATTTTGTGGATATCAACAAACTGATTCTAAAATTTATATGGAAAGGCAAAGAGACTTAAAAGATAAAATACTAAAGGAAAGAACAAAGTTGGAAGAATGATACCCTACTTTAAGAACTCAAGACACGGTATTGGCCAAAAAAATAGATGAACAGATCAATGGAAGGGAATAGAAAGCCCAGAAATCAGCCCAAACAAATACAGTCAACTATTTTTTTTTTAAAGAAATAAAGGTAACTGTGGAGAGAGAATAGTCTTTCCAACAAATATGTTAACAACTGATCATCCATATGCAACAAAAATGAATCTAAACATAAAGCTTTATCTTTCAAAAAATAAAAACTCAAATTGGAATGAAGAATTAATTGTAAAACATAAAATTAGAAAACTCCTACAGGACAAAAGGTGAAAAATCTAGGTGACCATGGGTATAGCAATAACTTTTTATACACAGCAAAAGCACAAACCATGAAAGAGAAAAATGATAAATGGACTCCATAAAATTTTAAATTTTTGCTCTTTGAAAGATACTTTTAAGAAAATGACAAGAAGCCACAGACTAGGACAAAATATTTGAAAAATAGATATCTGACCGAAGTCTGGCATAACAAATAACCAAAGAATTCTTAAAAATCAACAAAAAGATAGGAAACAACTGGTTAAAAATGGGCAGAAAAGACCCAGAGAGCTGAGGAAAAATATATTCAGTTGTCRAATAAGCCTATGAAAGGATGGTCAACATCAGGGAACTGCAATTTAAAACAAAAAGGAGATTCCATACGTATGATTCGAATAGCTAAAGTCAGTAGTTTCCAGAAGTTCAGGAAGGAGAAAGCCAGAGACTGATAGGCTGAAAATAGGAGAGGTTAAGACACTATATGACACTATAATGGAGAATATGTTTCCATACATTTGTCACAAACAATTCAAAGAGCAAACCCTAATGGAGACTATCGACTTTAGATAATAAAAACATATCAATATTAGCTGTAACAAATGTGCCACACTCTTGCAAGACCTTAATAATAGAGAAAACTTGGGAGTGTGCAATGCAGAGGAACTCCATATTTACACACTATTTTTCTCTAGTTCTAAAACTGCAAACAAATAAAACCTATTTTAAAAATTATGCAACTTAGTATTCCTTTGAAACTTAGATGTTACTGAATTTGTATGATGATTTAAAAAATCAATCAAGTTATTAAGATGAATTTTACAAATGTCCTTTAAAAGGTCAACCTAACAAAATATCATAGTGTCTATAATACTAAAGTATAAAGAAGTTATATCAAAGAAATAAAGAGAAGGTAAAATTGGATATATAAGACTAAAAAATTATTTTCATATTTAGTTTAAAAATTCTCTGTAATATTGAAATGTAAGGCCTTAATGGCATATGTGATACCATGTATAGTACCCAAGGTGTTTTGCAAAGTATGTTACATGCATTATCTGTGTTCTTATCTAATTTTACTTTCCTACTTAGGGTTAGGGTTAGGAAAGTAAAATTCTCAACCTATGCTGGTTATATTTGGTATCATAACTATCATAACTATTTCATTTAATATCCCCAGGAAAGAATGAGTCAAACTCATTGTGATTAAATAATAATAATAATAATAATATGTTTTTCTTAAGTAGGTATAAACAGAACCAGAAAAAATAACTGTTCCATAAGTATTAAAAGTTCTCAAATGAAAGATTACTCATATCAAATCCAATTTCCTTTATGAACCTTTTTTCTAATTTATTTCTGTTGGCTTTTCCCGACCCATGCCATTTTCTAGAACCTCTGACAAAATGAATAAGTTAGTTCCACCTGTTTACATCGCAAATATATATAATTCTTTGTAGCATTTCTCAGTGTTTTTATAGTTCATTTAAGAAAAACCACTCAATAAGGAAAGAAGAAACTACTTTCTTCCCCACCAAATGACAATGAGTATTGTGACAGTAAAAACAATATCTTACTCATCTTTCTATCTTTGGGGATTTTCAGCCAGCTGTTTAATTATTCGGTAAGTTTTGCTGCATGAATGTACAGCATAACAAATTCAGAAAGAGTATGTTTACGCTTATCAAATTGAATATTATGAACTCAGTGCCTTTTAAAGATTTCTGATGTTTTATCTTTCTTCTTGTATACCTGGTTATTCCAATGTATGAAACTTCCTGCTTATTTTCATTGTTCACCAATGAGAGCCCAAGACTGTGGAGAGACAAGGTAATTTCATGATCAGCCTGTTCCATTTCTTCTGCCTGCAGTGCTTTGGAAACCAAGGCAACATCATCGGTGAAAAGCAAAACTCTCTGGCGTCCATCTAGGAATGATACCCAGTGTATCTGGATGTTTGCATCGTATGGAAACTGTCCACATTCATCCTGAGAAAAGAAAGACTTTTCATTAAGGCCACACATATTTTTTTTATTGGTTGTTCAAAACATTACAAAGCTCTTGACATATCATATTTCATACATTAGATTCAAGTGGGTTATGAATTTTTTTTACTATTTAAGGTCAAACAACAGTAACTGATAAAGATTAGAAAACTGTTGTCAAATCCATAGTGTCCAATAGTGAACTTCATGAAGTCCCCTGGACTTAATAATCATCATTTCTATGAAGTTTTTAACCAACAAGGAATTAATTGAAACATGTCTGAATCAATTATGACCTGCACCTTCAGTTCCAGCAACATTTTTTTCTGATTTTAATATAAATTCAAAAGAAATTTCTACATTTAGAAAATTTTAAAAAGCATGTCCATAAAATGGAAAACTCTTAACCAACAAATTTATAAATAAAACTATAATCTATGTTAAAATGTACCATTTTTTCAAACAATGACAAAGATTAAGAGTACTTAGCATTTTTATATCTTAGTTTTTGTTGTCCAGTTAATGCTCAAAGGGCACTGAGCAGAAGCAAGAGAATCCTTTGCTGGCATCAATGCCACAAGATAATTACTTGTCTTCAAGCTGGAGAACAGTCTAGTTCAGATGTTTATTAGAAAAGCAACCTGATGCAAAACTAGCTTGATCTATTTTTATGTTTTAATAATTTATAACATAGCAAATATTTATGTAAATCACACTGCTAAATAGTCTAACTATGGTAATCAGTTTGAACTAAGTTTAAGAATAACCTTCGTGGCTAAAGGTTTTATATAGCACCTAAAACTATGAAGTTTGATTGGTTAGTGTTTTAGGAGACTAAATTTATATATCATTAATAAAATCTTTTTCAAAATTTTTATGCTAAACATAAACTTAACAGTTCCTTTCAACAGGCAATAAAAGTTCCTATTATGTGCCTTTTCACCTTGTGTTTTGTTGGGAAAAAAAATATTTTACAAAAAGCACATTTTGTTATTGTTTAAATTTTATTATTACTTTAAAAATATGTTGTATGGCAAAATTAACCTGTCCAATTTTTTAATGTAATATTCAAATTTTCAAAGATACCTATTAATAAGATGAACTCTTTGCAAACTATGAAATTTGATATGTATTTTAGTTTCAATCTCAAATTATCATTCCAATGTTCTGTTTTCCATCTACATTATCTGTTAAAAATTAAATGAAAAAAAATAAATAAGGTATCTTAAACTCCAAAAATGTGTTTTAATTAACTTCTAGCATTTTAATGCAATGTTATTCACGGCATGAATACTTGTGGTGACCCCTCATTTTCTGTCATATTATGACAATCCAATAGTTGTGCTTTGGATTATAGTTCATCAAAACTAAAATGCAACAATTTGCCATATTTTTTTACTTCTGTTTGCCTAATAAATCTTCACTATCTTTTCATGCTTAAAATTTTCTTGTTGGTTAGGTTAAGACAGATTTCTTGTAATTAGCACATAGTTAGATACAATATTCTTTTTAAAGAAACACCATCTTACTGTGTTGCCCACACTGGCCTTGAACTCCTGGCAAGTGATCCCCCTGCATCAGCCTCCCATGTAGCTAGGCCACAGGCACAGGCCACCACAGCTGGCTTCAGTGTTACATACTGTTTTGTTTTGTTTTTTTCCTTTTTTTTTTTTTTAACTTAATCTGAGTATCTTTGTGACTAGAAGAATTTAAAGCATTTTCATTTACTGAAATAACTGCTGGGAAGCACGGTCTAGAAGGAAAAGTCTAGGACTATGAAGCCAGACAGAGCTGATTTTGAATCCCAACTAGCAGTCCTAAGTTATTACTATAAAAATTAATGATAATACATGAAAAGTATCAAGATATGATAGGCACTCAATAAAATGTTATTTGTCACTTACTACACACTTTCTTACACTTCTTTCTTAGAGCAAAGTTTTCTTCATTGTTTTAAAATCCCTTAACTCAATGATTTTTTTTAAAAAGACAATCTTTACTCCATAATTTCTCTAATTAAAATTTAGGATTAAGTGATATACATATTCTATGCACACAATATATTGTTTCCCACTCTGTTTTCATTTTAATTTGTTGTCATTTTTAAAAAATTTCCCCCTTGCTTTCCTCTTACTTCTGTTGTCATATCTTTATAACTTAGTTGAGGAGGTATGGCATATATTTTGAAATTTTTCTTCTGGTAAACAAATTTTCTAAGGTCTAACTCACCTTCTCAATATGTATGATAATGATTCATTTTTCTTGTAAAGTTTTTTTTCCATAAATCCTATTGATTTTTTTCTGTTTATTCATACTCAGTTGAGGAAATATCTATTTATTTACTTTTTTTTGGAAAGATATGTTTATACCTTATCTAAGTTTGTCAACAATAAATGGACTTTCTTTGGACTCCCTTTTCAGGACCACTTACACCTGGGCAGAACTCCCTTCTCACATCAACTTAGTGGACAAAGAAATGGTCCATTTCCTTGTTTCTASATCACTTTTCAATACCTAGTAATCTATCTACTGAGTAGTACCATCTGCTTTTTCAACTGCCTGCTTCACTAATAAAAAATAGAAACATTAGAAACTGAAATCTGTTTAGAAACTGACACTGTCCCTGGGCTTCTTCCTAGACCTGCCTCTGTACACAGACCTTCATAGCCCTCTCCATAATGCTTCTGCCACTTTCTCTCTGTGTCTGCACTTTAGTTCCTAAGAGTTGTGGTTGTTAAGCAGTATCAAATTTCAGGAGAGACAAAACAATCCCAGATAAGCATAGGGACTCCTGGTAGAGTTCCTGAGCATGAGTCAGAAAGAAAAAAGGATCGGGCAACTAAAGTCTTGTTCTTCCGCTGTAAACCTGAGAATTTGTTATGAAAGTAAAGCACAAGCAAACCAACAGAGTGCCACCAAACTGTCTCAGTGAAAATCACTCCAAGAATCTCATAACATAGGAACTAGCAACCTTATTTTTCAAAGATTGAGTCTTTATCTTTTATAGGCATCTCTGAGAGAATATAGGAAAAGATAATCCAGTCACTGTTGCCCAATTACAACTTCAAAGTAAACATCAAGAAAGCCTTCTTAACAACTAGCGTAATTGGACAATGGAATATGACACTATATGAACCTTTCGTCATGGAATATATCTCTACAGAAACTGGATAACGTATCACGAATGTAAGAGCAATTCCAACATCAAATAGGAGGTTGGTAGATGAATTCTTAGGTTCTTTCCAGAGTCTTATATCAGAAACATATTTGATTAATTTAGCTATCTCAATATTACTTCAACAAATATTTCTTATGAGATAATTTATATGCTATCAAACTCCACTGATTTTAAAAAAATAGAGCCTTATTTAGAAAAACATGCTGAAAAACCTCAGTTAACAGTGGTACGGATATGTTTAAAATAAAGTTGTTTTTCACCAATCTTAAAATTCTTTCCTTTTAAAAAAGCGAAGAAGGTGCTTTACTTAACTTGGACAGGAAGGAACAGAACTACTTTTTAAATTGTAAATTTAAATTATTTTGACTCATCTACGATAAAATATTCAGTATGAACTCTTTGCAATCTAAAGTTACAAAGTAACTTATTCTAAAAATATTTCCAATTCATTTTAGTTCAGTAAGGACCAAGACAACCTGGTAAACTAGCTTGTTTACTTCCCAATCATCAGGAAAACCATATAGCACCTGATCCCATCAAATGATACCTTTAACAGATCATGTTCCCCAAGATTTGCTGCATATCTCCATGTAAGTTTTCTTGTGCCAGTAGGATCTGCCCAGGCAAAAAGTCGAGCTTGTTTTGGCAGCAATTCTACTTCCTCCTGTGATCCACTAAAATACAATCAACAGAGGGAAAATTAGAATATCTTGGCCTTTAGAATCCCAGATCTGTAGTTTATTGAGAAGGGGATTGGCATACAAGTACTATGAAAGTGCTTCAGTTAATAAACAACAACTCTATCTAAAAATAAATACCTGAAAATGTCCAATAGACTAATATTTTTGAAGTTTGGGGAAATGGAATACTGTAGTATAATTTTCTTTCTAAAGGTTCATTGAACTATGAATTCATCCAAGAAGAAACATACCAATGAAATCCATTAAGGTAAATAAATTGGTACATAAGTGTTCACCTACAGAAATGGTTGTGATAGTAAATATCTTTAGTAGAAGAACTTCACTCAGTGCTGAAGTTTAAACTTTTGTTAATCAAATGCATACCTAAGATGTATTATGGGTCTCAGCATTAAAAAAAAGAAAGGTCCATGTGAAACAGCAGCATTTCCTAGGGACTTGCTGGAAACRTAGCCTTGCAGCCAACCCATAAGTTTAGAAACTATTGGTCCATATAATACAAAAACATTTAGAGAGAAGTGAAATAAAAAGTAATCCAACCAGATTTTGATCCTTTCTGTACTTGTAAATTTGTTCCTGGATTCATATTATGAGAAATAAGAACAGGGAAATCTTTAAGGAATTTACATACTACATATATATACACATATATATATATACATACATGAATGCATTTATAAAAGTATTACTATGTAATTTAAAGGCTTAAATTTATTTGTTATAGCATTAAAGAAAGACATCATCAAAATGACAACATAAAAGTAATAATAAAATTCCAGATATAATAATAAATTCAATCTCTCTACTCACTGACCTCCATTTAACCTTTTATTATCCCTAACCAAAAAACTAGATTTCATTTATAGGACAAGACTAACTGAGCATTACCAGATTGCAAATGGAAGGTAATACTTTAAAGAGTTTGTAAATATACTTTGTATACAACCAGAGATATGAAAAATTTGTGCTCTATATGTGTAACATGAATTGTAATGCATTCCTCTGTCATATATAAATAAAAAAGTTAATTAAAAAAAAAAGAGTTGCACAGTTCTTTATCAGCAATTCCAAAATTCAAAGGCTCTAAAAGCCCAAAAACTTTTCTGTAAGTTTGTTGTCAAGAAAAGTTGGCAGCAGAAAGAGAAATTAGGAAAACTACCCCATTCACAATAGCTTAAAAAATAAATAAATAAAATGCTTGAAGCCAGGTGTCTGTAATCCCAGAAGCTTGAGCAGCTGAAACGAGTTCAAAGCCAGCCTCAGCAAAAGCAAAGCACTAAGCAACTCAGTGAGATGCTGTCTCCAAATAAAATACAAAATAGGACTGGGGATGTGGATCAGTGATCGAGAGCCCCTGAGTTCAATCCTCAATACATCTAAATAAATAAATAAATACATACATAGTTAAATAATTAAATAAATAAATAGAGTACTTGGGAATCAATCTAACAAAAGAGGTAAAAGACTTCTACAATGAAAATTACAGAACACTAAAGAAAGAAATTGATGAATACCTTAGAAGATGAAAAGACCTCCCAAGCTCCTGGATAGGCAGAATTAATATTGTAAAAATGGTCATACTACCAAAAGCATTCTACAGATTTAATGCAATTCCAATTAAAATCCCAACACTATTCTTCATAGAACTAGAAAAGGCAATCATGAGGGGCTGGGGTTATGGCTCAGTGGTAGAGTGCTTGCCTAGGATGGTTGGGGCCCTGGGTTTGATCCTCAGTATCACATTAAAATAAATAAATAAATAAATAAATAAGTAAATAAACAAACAAACAAACAACAACAAATAAATAAAGATTAAATTCTTAAAAAAAGAAAAAGCAATCATGAAATTCATTCAKAAAAATTAAAAACTCCAAATAGTCAAAGCAATCCTTAGCAAGAAGAGTGAAGGAGGAGGCATCACAATACGAGATCTTAAACTATACTACAGAGCCATAGTAACAAAAACAGCATGATATTAGCACCAAAACAGACACGTAGACCAAAGGTACAGAATAGAAGACACAGAGACAAACCCACATAAATATAGTTATCGCATACTAGACAAAAGCACCAAAAACACTCAATGGAGAAAAAAAAAACCTGTTCATTAAATGGTACTGGGAAAACTGGAAATCCACATGTAACAAAATGAAATTAAACCCTTATCTCTCACTCCACACAAAACTCAAAATGGATCAAAGACACAAGCACTAGACCAGAGACTCTGCACCTAATAGAAGAAAAAGTAGGCCCAAATCTTCACCATGTCAGCCTGGGATCTGACTTACTTAATAAGACTCCTAAGGTGTAAGAAGTGATTCAATCAATAAATGGGATGGATTCAAACTAAAAAGATTCTTCATAGCAAAGGAAACAATAACGTGAAGAGAGAGGCTACAGAATGGGAGAAAATTTTTACCACACGCACCTGAGATAGAGTATTTATCTTAAGGATATAYAAAGAACTCAAAAAAACTTCACACACACAAAAACCACAAATAATCTGATCAATAAATAGGCTAAGTAACTGAACAGAAACTTCACAGAAGAAAATACAATCAATCAACAAATATATGAACAAATGTTCAATATCTCTATCAATTAGAGAAATGCAAATCAAAACTACTCTAAGATTTCATTCTCACTCCTGACAGAATGGCAATCATCAAGAACACAGGCAACAATAAATGTTGGCAAGGATGTAGTGAAAAAGGTACACTCATACATTCCTGGTGGGACTGCAAATTGCTGCAATCACTACGGAAAGCAGTATGCAGATTCCTCAGAAAACCTGGAATGGAACCACCATTTGACCCAGCGATCCCACTCCTTGGTTTATACCCAAAAGACTTAAAATCAACATATTACAGTGTTGCAGCCATATCAATGTTTATAAGCAGCTCAATTCACAATAGCTAAATTATAGAACCAATTTAGGTGTGTTTTAATAGATGAATGAATAAAAACAATTTTGGTATATATATTGTATGTATAATACATATACACATATATATAATATGATATGTGTGTATATGTGTATGTATATACTATATATAATATAATGAAATATTAATCTTAAAGAAGAATGAAATTATGGCATTTACTGATAAATGGATAGAGCTGGAGAAGATCATGCTAAGTGAAATAAGCTAATCCTAAAAAAAAAAAACAAAAGTGGAATGTTTTCCCTATTGCTAATTTGCAATAGGGGGGTCGTTGTGAGAAGAATAAAGTTACTTTAGGTAGACAGGAGTAAATGGAGGGGAGGGTGTATGGGGTAGGAAGAATAGAATGAATCAGACATGATTACCCTATATACATATATAACTATACAACCAGTGTGATGCTACAACATGTACAACCAGAAGAATGAGAAATTATACTCCATTATATATGATGTATCAAAGTGCATTCTACTGTCATGTATAGCTAATTAAAACAAATTTTAAAAATTAAAAAAAAGTTGGCAGTAGAACCTAATTTGAATTGATGTGAAACTATTAATAGTTTTAATTTATCCCACCTGGTGTGAATATTCCCAAGTTTTCATGCATAAATATTAATGTGTTTCATTATAGAATACTGTCTGTCTCAAGACACGACCAGGGTATTAATAAGAAGCAACACATGCTCCATATGACCTTTCTAAAATCTGAGACCATCTGGTATGTGAAAGCTAAATGTATCTCAGAAGGTACTGTGGCCCAATAAAAGCCAGAGTTTCCATCAACCCCCTTTCATACCTCTGTTTATATGTGAGGATGTCCCATGGTGTATGGTTTATTATCAGGGCGGGTGCAGATCCTTCATGGTAATCAGAAAAGGTTATGACAGTTGAATGTTCAGCAGTGTTAACATCCACCAATATACCTCCATTCTGTTGCAGAGGAAAAAAGTACATATGTCATGTATTGGTTTAACCTCACTTACATATGTAATTTCAATCAGTTATGTAAATACAAAGGCTTTTTCTTAAGTTCTCACTGAAAAGAAAACTGGCTCTGATTTCTTACAAACATACATAAGGCATTATATATTGATATAGCAGCATCTTCAAATAATTAACACTAAATTTTTGTAGCATGGTTCAGTGAAATGTGTGAAGCAAAAATTTTTAAAAAGACATTTTATTTTAAAATATAAAAACTTACAAGATCTTCTAAACTCAACAAAGTGCCATTATCCTGTTGGTTATAAAAGAATGGTTTGGAGGATCCTTCACAGCCCACCACTCTCACACAAAGTTTGCCTGACAAATTTTCGGGCCAAAATGGAAGGCACTGAAAACACAAAAATTAATATCAGTCTTAAAATAATGCTGTGATATAAATAATATATTGGCTAATTAAGTTTTTACCTCTGAATCTGATCTTGATTAAATGAACACCAAGTTCCTTACAACATTTCCTCTATATCTCATATTAAAACCATTGACAACATAATGACTATTATGTTCTATTTATGACTATTAACATTTACCAGAAGAATACAGATATATTAATCCATCTATATATAATGTCATATTAACTCTATCATATTTATATGTTAAAATATGACAGCCAGCTATCCATCCATATGTACAATATGAGAAACCAAAAAGCATGTTCAGTAAGCATATCTCAAATATCTTGAATAATTAAAAATTATAATATTCATAACATTTACTTTTGTGCATATCCCATTTTACTTCATTAATGCATGAAGAATTCTTTCATATACTATTTTATCTGAGATAAACCAGAAAGAGAATAGAAGACAGAGATCATCATTAACTTACTGAAAGTCCTGATATCACCTTCCTAGCTATTTGAACTTAATCAAAAAGTCATATAGTTCTTTAAGCCAGTTTCCCTATCTATAACACTGGGGTTTTCATTCCTAACATTATAGAAAACGTCCTTCTGTTATAGAATACTGGGGTAAATTTTGCTTCTGAATAAAAAATACTACTGTTGTCAAATCTACATCAAAGACAAAAAATAAAATAAATAGTTATTGCTAATACACAGAGATCATTTGAAGTGTCTTGAAGAGACCATGCATCTTAGAGCTCTAAACACGTTTTTACTGAAATAAGAATCCTTCCTTTGAGTCTTTTGCTAAATACTTTTAAAATAATTTCAGAATATTTTTTGAGCAGTACTAAAAATGAACTTCAGCTATCCTGAAGGTCAGCTAGTTTGACTGAAAACTGGGTCAAAGTCAAGGACTACTGGTCATCTTTGCAGTAGTACCCTCTTCCCTCACTTTATCCCTCATTCTTTTCACCTCATTAAATATTACTGAGCCTGCAAAGTTCAGTTCAAATCCCAACTGTTCCACAAAGCTCAACCTTTTGATATAGACCACGAATGCCCATCAATTCAGTTATCAATGACCTTGTTGATCCTGGAAAAGTGTTAACCTGATTTCTTTTCTGTAAAGTGAGAGAGCTGAATTGCAAGAAAATTCCATCTTCCCTACTCAGAAATTCTATAACCACTTATAACTTTGTTTACACTATCTTTCTCTCCATTTGTTAATTGATATACAGCTTAATCCTTGCCTATAAGATTATAGTTTGAGTACAGAGACATCATCTTGACAACTGAGACTATATAGAGTATATTAWCTCTGTGTACTTTTCACAATAGATAGCAATGGTTTATATAAGGACTAGAGAAGGACAATTAATCATTTAGATTGAGATATGGGCAAATATCAACAATTATCCTCTTTTTTTAAAAACACATACATATAATATAAAAATCTTTTAAAGCTGGCCATCATATTTTAACACATAAATATGACAGAACGAATATGACAGAGATACACAAAATCCTTATTTACATGTCAATACTGATTTCTATACTGTAGGAATATGTAAAGGAAGACTTACCTCTGAAGAAGCAATATAGTTCCATTTATTAGTTGGTATTGAGCCATCAGATGCAATTTCACCAACTTCTAGTTCTAATGATGATTTGTTTGTAATGGTACAAAAGGGAGTTAGAGTAACTATTCGTGAAAGATTAAAACTGCTCATTTTGATGCTAACACCAACCTGTAAGAAGGAAACAAGTTTATTTCCCAATATTTTATGCAATCTCTAAAACCTACACATATTCCTTCATTCACACACTGATTCTTAAAATATTTTAAAATAAGAATTCTTACATTAAGTAATGAACATAAGCTATGAACATAAGATAATGAGTATCTTCTCACTAAAAAGAAAATTTTTTGTTCCCTAATATGACTCTATCAGAAACCAATTCAAGAACTTCAATCAGGAATTTAATGACACCTTGCAAGGACAGATTTAAAGTGTCCTCTGTTATTTATAAGACTCTTTAAATATTCCAAACACAGACTGATTTATAATTAGTGGAGAGGCTCAAGTTTTGTGGCTTTATTATCTGTCATAAAATAAATAAAATAAAAATTTTGAAGTAGTCATAAAACAGTTCAGTTGGTATCCAATTATTCAAATTTATGCTTGGCAGGGACTGTCCAGAATGAAGATTCTACCATGCCACCAATATTTACCAAACTACTCACTTGGGTAGATTCAACCCACTGTATTAATCTGTGACAAATTCCACTTCTGCTTTATTAACAGTGATCGAAGAAACTGGTAAGAGAGACCTCTCGACATAATACTTTCAATTCTGATATCTGTACTCTTTAGGACCTAAGCTGTTTAACTGAATTGTGGGAATGGTGAATGGAGTCCAGGGTAAATAGGCAAGTCGACTCTTACCAGGTATTCCATATTGTTGGCAGGACACTTCACACACCCATAACTTCCCACTGTATCCAATGAGAAACTATTGGACCAAGAACTAGTTGAAATTTTTAACTGAACCTGTAACAGAGAATAAAATCATTATATAAAAAACCTGAAAGATGATATTCATTTGATTTGATGGAAAGAACTACAAGAAATTTCTTCAGTATCATAGGACACAAAAATACAATGATAGCCATACTGCAAATGAATAACAGAACCACAGAAAATACTATGGGATGACAACCACAGCACAGCTCTGATTTTCCCATTTACCTAAGCAATGAGTATAGTGAACTGAAGAGACTGTTTTTTTTGTTTTTTTGAAGTTGTAATGCAAAATGATATGTTCCAGTGTTAGATTTATTATATAGAGTTAACAGATTCTTAACAGTTTGAGAACTCTGAGAATTCATCTTTAATACTATTCAGCAGGCACTAAATGAAAGGTATTGTGAAAGTAAGAATGGGAGAAAGGAGGACCCAGTTCCTGTCTTCAATGAGCAACTGGACCAAACAGAGAACAAGAAATACACACTAGTAATTATGATGCAAGACTCAATGTGACAAGAGCCATACAAAAGGTACAAAATGCTATCAAGGAGAAGATAATGACGCTAGGATTTAGAGAATGTCTTACAGAAGAAGACATACCTGTGCACCAGATTTAGTCTCACCCATATCTACCCAACTAGATTATTAAAAAAAAAAAAACTGAGGATAACCAGAGGTCAGACACATAAACAGATAAGCACCACTCCAAAACAGTGGATCTCAAAGTGGTCCTCAGACCAGCAGCATCAGCATCACCAAAGTATTTATTAAGGATGTGGTCTCTCAGGCCCTACTCAGAAAGACTGAATCAAACTCACTTTTGGGGACATAATTCAGTAAATAGCTTTAGAAGCCCATTCTAATGTACACTGAAATTTGAGAACTATTCTGAGAGAACATGAGTGGTATGTCCAGATTTATTTAAAATAGTCAGAAAATCTTCACACATATCAGGCCTAAGCAGAATGCCAAAGGTCAAGCTATAGATAACCAGGAAAGATGAGGGAAACAGGAAAAGGGTAGGGGAAGAGGCTGTCTAGGCAGAAGGTGAGGCATATGCAAAAGCCTAGAAGTGAGCACATGGGAAAGTAAAGAAGGCAGATGTGCATCTGAAGAGGAAAGAAGGGACCAGGACATAAAAGATCAGGCTCAAGCTTTAGGCTTCTCTTCCCTAGCTTAATGCTTTGCCCACCGAAGACTCAGCTAATATAAGTAAATCCAGTCACCGTATCTTTAGAAATGCCTTATCACCAGGAAAGTATATGAAATAAAACTATTTTATCTGTCATGAATTTAAGAACAGAAGTAATGCTACAGATAGGAGAGAAAGAGCAACTGAGTCTTAGCAAACTGCTGTTGTTCCTGCCATCCCACTTGATTTTGCATTCCTTAATGTCCCACTGGACTTAATTCATACCGATGGTACTTAAATAAACAGGGAAGCATAGTGTCAGGTTCCCAAGTTTCTAGAGAAGAGATTCTCCTATTTAAACTTGCTTTATGAACAGAAACATACCTTGTTTTTACTAAAAATGTTCTTCTTCTTAAAAGAGAATAAAATAATGTCCCTAAAATCAGCTGGATGTTTCACGTGAATATCTTCTGAACGATACTGAAGAACACGAGAAGTCTTGTTGATCAACCAATAGGGACTAAACACAGAGAGCACCAATCGGCTGCCAATTCGCCTGACATGTATGGACAGATCGACTGTCATCACATCTGTGGAGTCGGAAGAAAAGCACACAACAAAGAATTCGGGAAGTGTATCACATATGCGGAAATGTCCATTCCAGTTTTTGCCCAGGTATTTCACCAGGACTAATTCCATGATCTCTCCACTGATTCGTGAATGTAAAACATCAGCAGTACTGCCTTCTGTTAGTTCATGAGTTTCTGCTGTTCCCTAAAAATAAACACACAAAAAAATTTGCTCAGCAATTTTTGAAACTTTTGAAATAGCAAAATCCATGTTTTACACAAATGCTAAAGTAACTACCAACTCTTCAAACAAGAACCTTGTTCAAATATTATGACAACCCAGTAATCATTAAGGACAAAAAAGAAAACACTATGCCATAGCCACAAGCAGCACTATCTTTTGGCCATTAATAGGCAAACAATCATAAGTTTTGATAAAATATTCATACCTATGTCAAGAATCCTGGGCTAGATTCAGAAATCCTGGCTATTGTCCACCAGAGCTACATCATTAAATAAGCCACTTAAGTGCCTGGGCTTCAGTTTCATCCTCTATTTAAATATCACACCTGATGGTTCCATAAGGATGGAATATGGAAAGTGATATTGAACTACTCTGACAAGTTATCTATGGTGTAATTTTTTCAAAATAAATAATAGCAAAATATAAAACAGGGTTTCTTACTAAAACTGTCTTTTGTATAAATACTATTTAGTTCATTTAATTAATTTGTGTCTGCACAACTCAGGAATAGCTCATTGTTAGATTAAAAAAAAATTGAGGTTCCATACACTATGAATTTAAAATATCATAGCATGTACAAATTCGAAAGTATTTATCATACCCCACTACTAGGGAAAATATTTCTTATTATTTAAGGCAGTAATTACTTTTGTTTTCATTAGAACTGTAGAACAAATAATCATAATATTAACTCTTTTAAATAAAAACTTTAAGATGAAGTATTTTCTCATTGACTTTTTCACCCCTTTAGATAATAAAATTTTACTTAATGAATGAAAAGATGACTATGGTTCTGACAGATGTAGTAAGGACAAGTATTAGGGATTGAGGAACTAAAGTGCCTAGGTTTAAATCCTGGCTCAAATACTAAGTGGATATGGGTTGGTGGGCCAATCATTTAACCTCTCCGTAACTCAGTTTCCTCATCAGTATCTACTACAAAAAGTTACTGTAAAGACTGAACATGCCAATACATGTAAAGTACACAATACAGCTCCTGACATATGAATGCTATGCTGCTTTTTGCTATCATTAATATTATTAAAGCATTATCAACTATGCTATATAAAACACGGACTTCAACTAAAAATGCTATAAAACAAAACTAGAGTTYATTTTATACAATAATAAAAGCTAAACAAGAAATATACCTCAAGTAAATATCTTAAAGAATAGGGGAGAAGATTCCGCAGAGTGAGAGGAGGGTAAAGATGAATAATGTAAGCTGGATCCCAATCTTCCCCATGTGTGCTGATATAGCTTAATTCATCAGGCACAGCAACTGTATTCACTATGAGAGGCAGGAAGTTGACTTCCACTGATGGACACTGCAACCTGCATCTGACTTCCCTGCTTCTGTGAAGTTCTTCTTTCCAGGAAATATAAGTGGTAGATTCTTTGTACTGATGCTCTAAGATTCCAGCTGGTTGAATAAACAATTGACATCTGCAGAAAAAGAAACCAGGGAAGAAAAAGTTTTAATTGAGATATAAGAAAAATAATCTCATTAAATCTTCTTGATAACTCTACAAAATAGGTACTATTATTCTTCTCTTTACAGGTTAGGAAGTCTTAGCTAAGAAAGGTTGGGAAACTTGCCCACAGTCACACGTCTAACTCACAGAGGAACTTTCTGGGAAAAAGCACTCTGTAAACAARGGCAATGTAAAATTTTTTTCATTTCAAATACAAAGGCAGTCAGATAAATATAGATCTCAGATAATTCTAAAACATCAAATATATATAAAAAGAAGGCATTTCATCTTGCAAGTTCATTAATAATATAAATGTGTTTTTCTGTACTTAAAAACTGTCTTAAACCTAAAACTGCTTTTATAGCTCTTACATTATAAAAATATAAGGTTATTTTTTTCCAGAAAAAAGATGCCTAGCCAGGCACAATGGTGTATGCTTGTAATCCCAGAGACGCTGGAGGGTAAGGAGGATTATCACAAGGTCAAGTCCAGACTCAGCAATTTAGTGAGACTCTGCCCCACAATAAAAAAAGAAATAAAAAGGACTGGGGATGTATTTCAGTGGTAAAGCACCTCTGGGTTTAATAACCCATACCAAAAACCAAAACAAAACAAAAAAACAAAACATAAAATTCAAAATATATATTATAAAGTTTTTAAAGCTTTATATATTCAATGAAATATCTACCTATATGAATTTAAAGGAACATGGAACTCCTCTTCAGGTCTGGCTATTCCAATGCGCTCCAATAGCTTAATATTCTTGACAAATTTATAGATGATAAATGCAATAGAGAAATGGTTTTTAATCTGTTAGACAAAAGGACATACAATAGTTTAAAAAGGATAAACAAATTAAAAAGCTGCACATAATTACTTTTAGGTCTAGAAGTTTTCAAACCCAATATTGGAATTTTCATTGGTAATTGAAAATTTTAGGATAGATAAGTGCAATTTATGTATATTAAACTTGAGATCTAAATAAAAATTAAGATATTCACATACTCCTATAATTACATGCTTCTGTTTATTTTAGTTTATCATACTAGCTTTCAAATATGCATTGCTCTTTGACAATTTCAGTCAGATTTTCTCCATTACAACCATTTATGTATGCATCATATGACTAAACTAAATAGAAGAGCAAAAGCTATTTGAGAAGTACAGTATAAGTCTATTCTTGACTACAGTACATTTGCTGGAATCAATAATAAAGAGAGATTAATTGCCAAAATTTGAAATCTTTTCAATTTTTATCTGATGTTATAGAAATGAAGAAATGTCCTTTTGATGATCATATATTGATCAGATCCCAAAATCTATAATAATGTGCAAAAGAAGAAAAATGTTCAATAAAGCCTTAAAAGTAGAAAATATTTATAGATTAAAATGCTAAATTCTTTTCAGGAAAGTAGATAATTCCAATATTTCTTCATATGCACTTGAAAAATGTGATTCCAAATATTGTACAAAGAGAATGAACWATTATCCTAATCTACAACTAACGATAATTACAATATTCATCAGTTCTGAATTTTTAAAAGAATACAAAACAATTTCATTAATTTAAAAGCAGGAGATAACAAATGTATCAGACATTTAAAATAAAGAATAATACAAAATCAAGTTATAGAGTAGGAGCCTTTTCAGTGCACTATAATGAAGTTCTACTATATATTCTTCTATTTGGCTAAACAATATTTTCTGCTTTAGAGAAAGTGACACAATTCACTCCAAAGCATTACCTGCAGGGGAGAACGCAGGGTAATTACTTTATTCCCTTCAGTTGCATCAATCTGTACCAAGACTGAATCAGAATGACTGGCATTGGGATTCCGTACATTGTACAATCGCCGTCCAGGTCTGGCAACAGGGATGTTTCCAACTTCTGTGTATCCATGCGGTACTAAGACAGAGCATAAGTGAAAATAAGTCCAAATATTTACTCATTAATAATCATCAGCACCTCAAAATAATGATGAATATTTTATAGAATTTGAGAAAGTAGTAATTACTGTCAATATTTTAGGACTTCGGAATATCATTATTTTCTCTCATTGAAATCTTATTCTTTTTGAAGCATACTAAAACTTGTATTACTAAAGAACATTGAAATAATCTAGTTTTGCAAAGTATTTCTTGAGTTTAATCTTTTTCAAGTTTAGAAGAAAATAAGACATTAGTTTATTAATTATTTACTCTAAACCTTTAGAAACATTGTCTCCCAAGATATCTGCTGCAAAATGTTTCTTTATCTCTTATCAAAAATAAGCCCACAGCAATTCCTAAGACACTCTTAAAATAACTAGCATACCAAAGGTCAGTGTGAAGAAGGAGCTTTCTTGACGGTTGAGTACACACACTTTCCCTTGATGTAAAGGTTCCATGCTGGCATATTCCAGCTCCAAGTTCTGACCAGCATCCACATCATAAATGCCACTTTTCTCAGGGGGGCCCATCACTCTGAGATTACGATTTGGTTGCACCTTAATGGGAACACCTACAGCATTTTTTACCATAAAAGGAGCCCCGTCTTTTAAGGAGTAGTCAAAAGTAGAAGCAGCACCCTGTGAAAAACCCTGAAAAGGAATAAATCATCATCATTTTTACAATATGTATATTTCTTTCAAAAATTTTACCACTACTACACATTTTTTAACTAATTTTGATGACAAAAAATATCCATACATGTTTCATTCTCAAATTCTATTTAATATATTCCAAATAAGAATCAAACATACTTTTGCTAAATTGTTGAAAACACTAAGACAACTTTTGGATATTGTTATATTCATTGTATCTCCTGAAGAAATATGAATTGCCATTTGTGGCTCAGGAATAAAATCATCTCCTGGCATCAAACTTTTATCCTGTATTGGGTTCTTCTTTACCTATAATTAAACAATATAACAAATTTAAGTTATCAGTCAATAATAAAATTAAAATATAGTATTAAATCTTCTAAATTGGTTGCTTTACATTAAGGCTTTTCAAGTCTCATTTTTCAAAAATATTCAGAGCTTCCCACTGACTTAGTGCAGATGAGAAATCTTTCTTTCAGTGCATAATCCATGGGAAGATGCTTTTTAGAACCACAACATGAAACACTCAAAGTCAGCTACTAGATTTGCCTCCTGTGGATCTCCCAGAGTACAACTAATTACTTAGTGTGGCCTAAGTGATGATTATGAGTTGATTAGCAACCTAAGACAGCCCCAAAGTCTACATCAGTCCTTATATGGTGGTATCATCTGGAAATAAGTTTTTTCCTTCTGTTTTCTACAATTAACACATATACAAAAGTAATACTAGCTTTCAACCAGCCATCATATTCAACCTGTTGCAGTATCACAATCATGTTTTTATTCTAATAACATTTCAAAAAGCTGTAAAACATTCTTTGTTAGCCTCTTTACATCAGAGAGACAAATACCACTTCTACTTCATTCAAAGAAAACTGGGATCACAAGTTAAGTGAGTTCTCAACTTTAAGAAAAGAAWTGGCTATGCCAGTTTCAGTGCACAACTCCTCAGTCAGGAGGCTTCCTAGGGAGGTATGCATTGACAATTTATTCAGAGTATATAACACCTTCCCGTTATTCTAGAAAAATGTGCTTTGGTATATAGGCTTCTGAAGTGCTCTCAAGTAATACCATAAAGAAGTAATACAAAAGACTTGTTCATAAATAATAATAAAATTCTCTCTCCACTTTTTTGGTCTGTCTCTTAAAAATCACTGAATATCTCAAAGAGCTTCTAAATTTATCTGAGTTACATCTACCTATATCCACACTATTCAAAATGAAAATATAGGATTTTAATACACATTTGAAAATGTTAGATTTAAGTTATTTAATGAACAATAACTATATAAAATATATAAATAGTGAGAAATGGGGCATTTACAAATCTCTTCAGCACCTGCCTTAAGAGATGAACTCTGATTTCTATTGTACTCAATCTGGCTCAATATTGTATTCAAGAAGTCCCTTGGAAACTCCATAGTTCATTCATGAGAGAATGAAGACAAAAATGATATGTGATGCCTGAGTATTACCATGAAAAGAGTTTTAATCACATGGACCCCTTGAAATGGCTTCAAGGATCCTGGACTGCATCTTGCGAATCCCTGAACTAAAAAATATTAATAAATATACAGAGTGTCACTCTATACAAAAATATTTTATGGTTTCCTTACATTAACTTTTAAATTCCATTGTCGCTTCTCCTCCACTCTCTCAATCAGTGGCTCCCACACAGCATGGATTTCATTGTAATAGTGAACCTGAAAAGTCAGAATTATAAGTTAGTCTTTCAACTTTAATTATATAACTCTGTAACCAGCATAGAAAAAAAAATATCAAAAACCATTTATAAACCCCACTGAAAGATACAAAAAGTGTCAAGTGTATTTCCCTTTATTCTTTCTTTATTGTCTTAAACAAATTATTTAGCCAAAGATTTCTTAAAATCAATTCTCACAATACAATTATACATCAATTTATACAAATTAAATGTTAAAATATATTATCTATTCATATATGTATTTGTTGTTACCATGCATAAACAAAAAATATATTATCTATTCATATGTATTTGTTGTTACCATGCATAAACAATAGCAACAAAAAATCTCATCTCTTGATTCTGCAATTGTACTTTCAAGAAGTTGGCTCTGAAGGTTCTAAATGATGTATCCATACCTGTAGTGTCATGTCAGCTGCAGCAGCCATCAGAGAAGTCCAATTTTTAATACTGCCTGAAAACTTAGATTCTGCCAGTAATAAAGGTACTGTTCGATGCCCAAGGCCACATTCTAAGGTAATCTGAACTGACTCCACAGTAATAGCACAATTTTCCTCTATCCGTGGTTGTTCACTGTCTCTGAAATTTTCTGTTAATTCTGTTGCGAAGTCAACACCAAGAAACCAAGAGTTATAATCACTAATAGATCTGACATCCCAAAGATTTTCCATTTCCTTAGATATGTCTTTAGATTCATCTTCTTTTGCCTTTGGAGACATAGCAGCCATGATTGTCATCACAGTATTAAGAATTATGGGTGAGATCTTTATAAAGGAAAGCAGAAAAACATTTAGAACAGATTCTTTCCYAGATGAGAAGAATTAATACATATATGATAGAACATTAAAAATTAATTAAAATTTTAAATACATTAAGTTCACAGCCAGAGAAAACATATTATTGGCATCAACTATCTAATTTTTGCATCCTTTGGAAAGAAAGAAAAATGGATTTCAGAAAACATTCTGAATTTCCATTTGTAACTGGGCACAAAGTCATATTTAAAGAATCTGAATGCCACTGAAGAATAGAGAATTTTTCAATCCTTTAAATTAAAAAAGCAAAATCTAAAAAGTTATTTCTAGCACACACCTGTCATTACAAATATTTTGTAAGTCAAATAAAGCATTTAATCACTCACTTATTAAACTGATTCAAATTTTACATCAAATAAAAGTCTAAAAGTAATTTATTTCAAATGAAGTAATGGCAACCTCATCTCACCACCCTTTCTTCCCTCTTTTTCTCCCCATTTCTCCTCTCCCCTCCACATGCATGCAAATATAATTGAGAAAACCACTCTGATCTTTAAAAAATATTAAAAAGTATCCTTTCAAAGGAAATCAAAATAAACATTTACATTAAAGAAAATGTCTTTTAATGTTACAGGTCTTTGATTTTTCAAGATGACTAACACAATGCTGGAGTGTTAAGAGACATCAAAAGATACCATTTTAAGTAACTGCAAATACACAACATTGTTAGAAAAATAAGAATTTACACCCAAAGAACATGATAGGTACTAACCTTAATTATAAATTCTTTAACCATAATGTTTATGTTTTGTTTTCCTGAGGCCCATGTACATTTTTCCATAAATAATGAGCAGGGCTGTAAGACCTAGAAACAAATAAATGAAATTCACACTTCCTTAGTAACAGTTTCAGTAAATGTGTAACAGACCCTTATGAGAGCTACCTCTTACTCAAGCTTACTATTAATAGCAAAAAAGGAAATCAAATTAACTAAGAACTTTGTAGGAGGGCTTCTGTGAACTATGACAAATCTATGAACGTTGTTAAAGAACATTTAACAGTTCTCATAACTTTTTTCATTCTAAATTGTTAAGTAACAATGCAACTTATTATTAGAAGTTTAAAATGTTTCCTTTTGCTAAAATATTTTCATTGATACCCTCTGTAAAATATATTTTTGAGATATCTATAAAAATGAACTAATAACTGTAGTAAGGTAGATAAATGACCATTTTCAGATAATTAACAATTTAGTCTTGAATACCACCAAAAGTCCTTATTAGAATGAATCTCAAATCTTCGAAACTGATTAAAATGATGAAGTCTATATTCTTATTTACAATTAAAGAAACAAAATAATTTTGCCCCAAACTAAATGGGGTAATTACTATGGCATAATAATTTTGAAAAAATTAGGATGAGCTTTCAATGAAGTGATTACTATAAGCCTTCTGTGACATATCAAAAGATGATCTGTCAAAGAACATTTCATGATAAAGTATAGATGAAGCCTAGAACTATATTTTTATGCAAATCTCTCAGCCCACAAATTTTTAAAAATTTAAACTAACACTGCCAATGAGTCAAATAACAGTGGTCCTTTTATCATAAAAATTATCACTAACATTAAAAAATAATTGGTGTTAATTGTTAATTAACTAAAATCATAATTTTTCAATAATGATATGAAAATAACTGAAATTAACTTTTAATAACAGAAGAACACCATCTATTTTGGTTCTCTGACTCCAACTAAATTTTTCATTTCAAGATTAAATACTCATTCATTCTCTTATTGGGCATACCACAGAGAACAAAACAATAGCTAAAACAAAAAATACTGATGTGTACTACAATTCAAATACTATTTAATAGAAGATAATATAAAGAAAACTAGTCTGAAGGTAACTCCTACTTTTATTACCAGCAGCTATAATTAAGTTATTTAACATCTTTGGAACTTAGTATCCTTATCTGAAAAACCCCAAGGTTTTAGTAAATAATCTGTAAAGTCCTTAAGAGCTCTCCTACTTAGGATTCTGCCCTTCTCAAAATTATGATCCAAGGCAATTCTTACTGTGGTAATGTTTTTCCCTCTCTTTTCTCTGAGAAAAGGGCAAGCGAGCACTTTCAGATCTCTCACAGAAGCTTCCATCATTTGCTCAAGTTCAGATGTTGACAGAGAGAGGTTACACTGGAAGGAAGCTGTCAGAGCAGGAGCATCAGCCTTTGTCAGGTTGGCAACAAACACCACTTCCGGATCTGTGATCATGGCCTTTAAAGTTATATTTGGTCTTACAGAATCATCTGCAGAAACAAAAAAGGGAACAAAAAWTTTTTAAAGTAAATTTTCACTTATCTACACATCATCTACTAGTTACTAAGTTGTTCTCATTATTCTTAATATGATGGATATGTTGAAGTTAATACTAGTAATTGGTTTATCAACACTAATTATTAAATGATATTATAAAATGCTGATTGTACAAGAAAACATAATTTGAAACCTGTTTAAAAAAGATCATTCTCACTTTGATATTTGATTTAGTTGGGAATAATGGTGTTTTGAAATTCTTGGGCCAGAATTAAGGTATGTGCTTGTATACACATATGATAATGTTTTATGCTATGCTGAAGCAGCAAGGAGGGGAAAACTAGAGAAAGAACTATCAGGGGAAAAAAAGACGCTGGTAAAGCAGTTAAACTGTTGTCATTTGGTTTCATCCCAAACTATATAATCAGTATCATATAATGTATAATATAAATATATTTAATGGGGCTAGAGATGTGGCTCAGTGGTAGAGTACTCATCTAGCACATGCAAGGCCCTAGGTTCGATCTTCAGCACCACATAAAAATAAAATAAAGGTATTGTGTCCAAATTACAACTTAAAAATAAATAAATAAATAAATAAATTTAATATGTAAATAACTACAGAGATATCAAAAATGATTACTACTCAAGAAACATTAAAAGTAAATGGAAAAATAACATTTGACCTTGCCAATAAAAGTTAGTTTTCCAATCTTGCTGGGTGCTGCACTGGAGAAAAAAAATGCCTGATCTTAAATAATTATAAATGAATACAGAAAATCACTGATTTACTTGGTAATGCTAGAATATAAAAAATTACAGAGTTGAAAGTGACTTCAGCATACATCTAGGTCTGACACTGGTAAATTTTCTGACACTTTAAAGTATTAAAGGTGATAGGGTAGTCATGCTAGGTCTCATTTTATCTTTTCAATTGCTCTTCAATGTGCTACAATTCTTTAAAGTCCAATATATTTCTACTATACCTTGCTCTTCAAAATATTTTCTCACTAAAGCTTTTATATAGAATATGTTTAAATTTGAAAGTCTAATTTACTTTCTCAAATTTTCTACTACTCTTTCCTTCTGTTTGTAATTTTTGTTAAAAAGCACAAGTAGTCATCTCTAACAGGTAAATTCTGCTAACCTTTCTCTATCTTGACTTTTCCTGTGGCAGTCTGTCTTGGTGGAATCTGTATTTCTTTTGCCATGTTTTCAGGATTCTGCGGCATGGCTTTGATAAAGAAATCTGCCACAGTCATCAGAAACTCCACACTGGCACATACATATAGCTTGTCAAGAACAGCTTCAATTTGACTTCCATTTTTGTCTTGTTTGTAACTTATATCAATCATAGAACTGTTGTTATCTTGGTCATTCTTTTTGTCTATCATCCTGAAACAAACAAACAAACAAACAAACACCATTCATTATTTTAGTTCTGCTGAAATAAAAAAGATGAAAGTTTTCCTATACATTTTAATGATCTTTCTTTCACCTTTCAGTTTATAATCTGAATAGAAAACAGGACAGTGTTAACTGGTATGTAATTACCTAATCAGCAACCAAGACATGGTCTCCTAATCCCCAAAGTAAGATTTATGTGATTAAGCAATAACAGAATATTTTAATTAGAATGCAATATTAAAAACACCAATGATTGGGGCTGGGGTTGTGGCTCAGAGGTACAGCGTTTGCCTCCCACACATGGGAGGCTCTGGGTTCCATCCTCAGCACCACATAAAAATAAATGAATAAAATAAAGATATTGTGTCCAATTAAAAAATAAATATTAAAAAAATAAACAGCAATGATTGCTGGAAACAAATTTAGGCAATTAACAAAACATATCAATGTGGTTCATAAAATTTATAAGACAACCTCTGTTTTATTAAATAAAATCTTGCTGAAGGAATTTATTTCCAAAGATTATCCTATGCACTTTGATTTGAAAGTATTCACTGCAACTCAAATCAGCAAGTGTTTATTAAGTGTCTTCACAAATAGTTCTTACACATCTTTACATGGTCTAGGAAGACCAGACTACCAAACAGATGGTGGCATTTATCAACCTTACCTACAGAGTTGTGGACTGCTAGATATGAAATTTAAAAACTAGAAAAGCTGTGTGCATTAAAGCACTCTTTCTTCATTTRTTAATTTCTCAGAAACATAAAGAACTCACAACTATCCAGTATGCATTCAGTGAAGTCCAAGTTTAGTAACACAGGTTTTTTTCCGTTAAAAAAAAAAAATCAAGTACAAAGTATTATGTGTCACATTAGAGAAAGGAATACAAATATAATTAGACTATTGTAGTCAGATATTTTTCCTCTTTATAGTAGGCTGATCTATAGTTAAACTTTCAAAATCTACATTGATAATGTTATCATGCTAGGGATTCAATTCCTACTAAAAGTAAAACAAAATTTGCAGAATTGTTTTGAAAGACACAGGCCAAAAAAATATATATACATATCCATAGCTTTAAGACTGCCTATAGGAGATAATTTGGGAAAATATATTACCAACATATCACTCATATGGATTTAACAATTAAAATTCATATTCTCTTAGTCCTCATTTTCAAGATGGTACTCCATTTTACTAATAAACTTCCCTTTCATTTAAACTAAATTAAATCAAATCTAAAGCTAAATTTGATATTAGCACTACTTCTTAATGCAATTCAAATCACAAAGTATGACCAGAAGACAGAGATCTCTTTTGATGATCCCACTCCCAAATGCCTGGTAACAATACCAAATGCAAAGTCAACCTTAATGTACAGCAAATTCAGGCCTGACAAACCTTGATGTTGCTCTCTCAATGCCTTCTCTGAGATCATCAAGGGTGCATGTCTTAAGTTTAAGGCTGACATTCACTGAACCATCCTTGAACATCTTCCCTGCAGAGGCCATCAGATACAGTCTGAGCTCACCAAGACGGAAACTGTCATTATGAAATGCAAGTTTGGATTCCTGTGGTGTATTTTTCAAGCAAAAAAATAAATTATCTTTAAATATTACATACTTATTTTTAAACATATTTCTTAATTCAGAGCCTAAAAACAAATAAATTTTACAGATTTTTAAAAGTATTAGTGCTGGAACACACAAATGGATCCAAGAATAATATGCATGCTTACGAATATAGACATGTATACAAGTAAATACATGTATGTATGTGCTGACATTCAACAATGGTTAATATATAAAATTAACTTGATACACAGTCTGATGGAAATAAAAATAACCATGAAACATTTGTGTCAGTTAATCACATGATCTACTAAATATTTAAAGAGCTCTTCTATTTAAAAAAAAAAAAAAGTGGTAAGAACTATGGAGTTTATGAGAAAGGACCAGGTTGATAGGTGATCTCCATGAGCTTACAGATTAAAGAAACATCACAAAAACACAACTGTAAATTGTGAATGATAAAATACCTTGTGATAAATAGTAATTTTATTATTATTTATATCTTTCCACATTTCAATATTATCAAACATTGGATATTAATTCCAAATTTAYTCAATATTAAGTGACTAGGTAAAGAATATATATAATGAAAACTAAAAAGTCAAATAGATCATTATGGGATAGGAAAAATTCATGGAGAAAGTGAAAACTTCACTGCACATTGGTGGCTAAATGGGATTAAATAGCTAAGAGGGTAGAAGACATTCTACATTGGATAAAAACAGTTGATGTTTCAAGATGCGTTTCAGGGCACCAAGTAGAGTGATTAGGCTTGAAAATTCCAATTTAAGGATGCTAGGGAATGAAATTAGAAAGAAAAACAGAGGCCTAATTAAGATCTCAAATCTCACAATAAAGATTTAAACTTTTATTTATAAGAAAAGGGGTCTCAGTTCTTACTCCACCATAACACAAAAGTCTAAGTACTCTAAGAAAAATGAGATTTCATAAAGAACAGATCCCATCTAATAAACCAAAAGCAAAAATACTTCATGGAAGTAAAGGACATCAGTCACAGCTTCTCAGTTGGGTCCATGGCCTTGGTGAGAGGTATGCTGGTGATGTGCAATCCTTGGCACACTGGTTACTCTACACCTTCACTATTCCAGACAGTTTATTACATGCAAGTAGGTCAGAATGACATCATTATTGGGAAATTTCTAATACATTTAACTTATAAAAATGGAAATAATTCACAAACTTCTGTTCTGTAATTATGGTTAGAAATGACCTGTGACAATATAATGATCACAACATATAATGTTTCCTAATACAGTTACTGATATAGACAATTTGGACCCACTGGATGTATCTTTGTTGTTGTTATTTGTTTTTTTTTTTCCTTTTCATAAAGGGACACATACATAAACACTGAATGTTCCTATGTAGAACGGGAATTCGCAAATGGTTCCATGGATTCACTTAAGACACTGAACTTGTACCAGTGTCTAGGATGGATGAAAGGAAGCCACTGCAGTACATGTGTGAGCCACTAAGGGTTTCAAATAAAGCATTGTGAGAATTGACAGAACAGAACAACATTCAGTCAAAAAAAAAAAAAAACTGATAGAACTCAGTGTTTAAATGAATAAGAAAAGAGAACAAAGAAGAAGCAAAGAAGACAGCAAGATTCTAAGTCTGGGGAACCAGCAAATGACCATCCTTAAGGGAAATGAAGACCGAATTTAACTGTCCATTTTCTACTAGGTCATTTACTGATGTTTTCATGAATATTAAACATTAGAAATGAAGGCAGTTTACTGCACAAATGACAGACATTAGCACAAAGCTCAACAGCAACAATATATGAATACTATCTAATTTTTAGAAAACATTATGAAATATGAATTTGTGTATAAAAATGAAAATTAACAACAGATGCAATGCCTATACATTATATGACATATATWATGGATATTAACATGATATAATTAACTGATATAATAAAATGTTTTTAGAAGACTATATATAATTAATAGCTTTCTAAAATACCAACAATATATTATTTAGTTCAAATCATTATGGCACTAGACTTCCAATTTTTTAATTGGAATCCTTTTTTTTTTTTTTAAAGAAAGAGAGAGAGAATCTTTTTTGTAGATGGACACAACTCAATGCCTTTATTTTTATGTGGTCTGAGAATCGAACCAGGGTCCCGCCCATGCTAAGTGAGTGTTCTACTGCTGAGCAACAATCCCAGCCCAATTGGTATTCTTAATATAAATCTACCATATATAACATCTATTCAATATAAACATAATTAATGCTTATATCATAGATAATCATGAATTTAAAAATAATCATCTAAGGCTCCAAAGCCACTACTAAATTATTTTTATTAAATAGGTTTATATAYATACAAATAAACACACAACCTATGTAATAAAATTGAGCGTATAATTAATCACTCATAAATAAAAGTCCTCCGTTAGCAACAGTGCAAAATGTGCTTTGGTGCTGATGTTACTTAAGAAGAAATGAACCCTGAATGATTTTCCTTAGCATAATAAACACTAAAACAGTGAAGACCTATTAAAAAATTTTTAAAGGGTCATATAAAAAAAATGCCAGGGGCTAGGGTTGTAGCTTAGTGATAGAGTGCTTGCCTCACATCTGTGGGGCACTGGGTTTGATCCTCAGTACCACATAAAAAATAAATAAAAATATGTGTCCATCTAAAACTAAGAAATAATATTTTTTAAAAATGCCAATATTCTAAAACAAAGCAAAGAATTTTTCTCTACAGAAATTTAATACACACCTGATTGATATCATTGTTATAAAGGACAATGGAGAGAGATTCAAAATGAAAGTCATATTGGAGAGTAACATTCTGGCCCACAGAAGGTTTCGAGTCTGTCAAATGTTCTTGATCTGATAGAACAAAAAGAAACATGAATATGAAATCTGGCAAGATTTTAAGTAGGTATATTGCTTTGTACATATTTAAAAGCTGGGACAATGATTTATTATTCTTAGTTTATATCCAGCTTCCTAATGTTCTTTAACTCATAAGACAATAAAAATGACAAGGATTATTCCATATATTTAGTACAGGGAAAAGTGGCAGAGGCAAATTATTCACAGCTTTAAAAAAGAGACACTATCTTATACAAAATAATCAAGACAACTTTTTAAAAAGTCCCTCCAAAGTTAGACTTATAACAGAGGTATAATTATAAAGGCACTTTGATCTAACTGATTCAAGCCATTCTCATACTTATAACAGAGTTTATAATTATAAAAGCACTTTTATCTAACTGATTCAAGCCATTCTCAAGTGATTAAGAAGTTGGAGTACAGAAAAGCCAGATTTTTTGCCCTGTATTAGAGAGCAAAAGATACTCTGCTAGTCAAGCACTCTTCTCATTATCTTTATTTATCTGTATTRCCTATTACCTCTATAAGAACAGAATGCAACTGTATTACCTATTACCTCTATAAGAATAGAATGCAACTCAATAGCAAAATATGTCAGGTGGGGAAGCCTTTGGAATTTAGTGAAGACATTTAGAGAAATATTTTAGTCTTCTGTCTCATTTTCAGACAGATAGGACAGATGAAACAGATTCTGCTTTCAAACACTTTTATAATATGATTCTATAATCCTTTTGGAAATTGATTCTAATTTTTCGATCATTCTATAGAAAAGGCCACTGTTGTGTAATTTTAACAATGTAAGGCTTCCCCAAGATGGGAAACCCTAGTTTTTTTTTTTTTCCTCTACTTTTCCTGAAAATAATGTATATTCCAATCTTCATTATTTTGCAGCTTCCACCTGAATTCACAAATTTTCCCAAGGGACACATCAAACATATAATGAGAACCAGATACAAAATTTGATCACAGCTGAACCTTATGAGATCATTAATCACATAAAGTCTGCCTGTCACAATTTATTCATCTCTACATAGTTTTGGTCTATAACAATGACCTGCTCATCTAGCATTTGTCTACATGGTAGCACAAACCCAACCTGGTGAGGAAATGCTGGCCTCACCAAGCTTATGTAACACCACTGTCTACCAGAAACCTTATTTTGCACACTGTTGTCATCATACGTTTGTGTAATTCCAAAGTATGCCTGGCCTTTCTATAGAAGAAGCAGTGTTGGTGAAATTCTATTAAGTGGCAGCTTTACCAAGTAAGCTGATGGTATGAAAACATTCTAAATGCCCAAGGAGTAGCCTGTGACCATATTAAAGACAAGAGGCATTTCATCTCTTTTTAGACATTTAAATATTAACCTATTTACAGTTTAATAAAACATTTAATAATACCAATGACTGTCAATAAAAAACAAGTAAAAGCATATTTCATGTAATTTGCTTAAGAAAGAACCATATTTTAGAATATATTTTAAACATATTTTAAAAAGAACATATTTTAAAAGAACATATATTAAAAGAACATATATTAAAAAGAACATATTTTAAAAAGAACATATTTTAAAAAGAACATATATTAAAAGAACATATTTTAAAAATGGTTGAATTTGAAAGCTTCAGTAACTTTTAAAAGTTCAGTTTTAGTAGTCTGAAGATTCTCTGATATATCTGATTATATCATTTTCCCATAAAGTCAGATCTAAAGCGGTTACTATGAAAGAATGCATTCCTTTCTCACGGTTCTGACCTG